AACGGCGTGAAAAGACGTCGGCATAATTGTATATCGTATATTTTTATTTTTCTTAAGTTTTCTTATTATTAGAAGACGTGTCACCCACGCATCGATATGCTGTTTTACAAAAAAAGACATATATTAGTGACTTACATAAATTTAAAAAAAAAATTAATCAAATTGAAATATAAGAAAATATAAGACTTACCCCCCCATCGAAATAGCCATTGTCTTCGACCCCTAATAATACGCCCCACCAAGACCGATCAAGCAACAAATAGATATCATCGGTGAGCTTGCATATGTCAGTGAAACACCCCTGGCTCTGCTCATGTAGATAAAAATCAACAGCGGTCTTAGCCCAAAGGGTGTTATCCAGAATTGTGTCCGGTAGTTGTTCCCTCTCCTCTTCAGATACCGGTATGGTACTGGCCGGTAACTCATACGAGAGCCAACTTGAATCCATCATGTCCGGCACGTAAGAGGGTTTCTCAAGAAGCCTACATATGACACCATGTGAATCGGGCTCTTGAATGGTGGGAGGGACCTCTTCAATGATGACAGTGGCCTCTTGAACGGTGGGAGGGGACTCTCGAGGAATGATAGGGGGGGCCTCTTCAACGATAGGAGTGGACTCTTGAGGGATGACAGGCGAGTCGGGCTTCTTCTTGCGGTGTCTTCGCACTATTGGGGTGTACGGAGACTTAATAGCACGTGCACGCTGTCTGATGCGTGAACTCCGTCGTGCAAGCATAACCCGACGTAAAGCATCCACTCTATCGGGCCGCTAAATAATTAAATACAAAAATCAGTAAATAAACAGACATGATATTTAAACAGTGAAAACAAAGACAAATATGTTTCAAACTTGCATTGTATTCACCCAAGTCATTATTCTATCATAGTTCACAAAATGCATCAGATAACAAAGAAAAATATGTTTCAAACTAATACCCTGAAGTTAGTATTTGTCTTTGTTTTGTCTATTGGTTGAAGTAATGCAATCCATTCAAGTTTCAATTTGCAGAAGAAGAAATAGTTTACTTTCGCAACACGAAACTTAAAATCGCAACGCGAAACCAAAATCGCAACGCGAAATGAAAATCGCAACGACAGAATCGCAATGCGAAATGAAAATCGCAACGAAAGAATCGCAACGCGAAATGAAAATCGCAATGCGATTTTGGTTTCGCGTTGCGATCTTGTCGTTGCGATTTTGGTTTCGCGTTGCGATTCTGTCGTTGCGATTTTCATTTCGCGTTGCGATTTTGGTTTCGCGTTGCGATTTTAAGTTTCGTGTTGCGAAAGTAAACTATTTCTTCTTCTGCAAATTGAAACTTGAATGGATTGCATTACTTCAACCAAAAGACAAAACAAAGACAAATACTATTTCACAGTGTTAAAGAATACACAGTTTAGCAGAATTGGCAGCAACCGAACAAATTTACTTTCAACCAAAAGACAAAACAAAGACAAATACTATTTCACAGTGTTAAAGAATACACAGTTCAGCAGAATTGGCAGCAACCGAATAAATTTACTAAGCAATCTAAGTGAAATGGCTAATCTAAGTGAAATTACGAGTAAATTTATCATTAAGTTAAATATGGAAAATCTTAAACTTACCTCGTTGCGTAGAGTATGAACCTCATTCTGCAACGATACTATTATCTCACGTAGAGCGGCAACCTCACCACGTAAAGTTGACACCTCCACACGCCATGCACCATCGTTATCGCGTAGAGTACCGATCTCCTCACGCAAGGCATTGACCTCATCACGTAACTCCCTTGACTCATCCCGTTGAGGTGGAGGTGGAGAACAGGGAGATAGGAGTCGTGGCATCTTTGCCGGTCGCCTATCATGAGGTGATGGTGGAGAAGAGGCTCGATGATGTGACGGGATAGGTGATGGCTCTCGTTCTAGAGGTGTATAGTCGGGTCGATCGGGTGATGGCTCTAGGTGAGGTGATGGCTCTCGAATTGGAGGAAGTGGATGCTGCTCATCATCCGTGCCATCAAAAAAACTCTGACTAGCTTGCTACCAATCAGTGGCAAGCTCTTCCTCCGTGGGTGTCAGTCTTTGTAATGGAATGTTGGCCTCCTAAAATATAAAAACTCAAACAAAGTTAAACGTCTACTATTAATAACTTGTTTATATATTATATGAAAGTATTTGTGTTAACTTACATTATTTATTGTCGCATATGGTATTAAGTCTTCCCAATCCAACAGAGTTTTCCTCTTCCAGGAAATAGCCCTGGGAATATCATTTGACGTTTTTATTGCATATGTACGCATGCTGGGGAAAGCCTCGAATATCCAAATCTACAAACAATATAATAACAAAATTAGTAATTGTTAAATAATTAATTATAATTTTAGAAACATTATATAGAAATTCTTACCTTAAAGGCCCAAACAAAGCCTGACAAAGTGTATTTGGACCCATCGCCCCGCAAACTTTTGCGGTCATCAAAGGCAGACGACAACTTAGTCCAGGTAGCTTTCCATATATACGAACCCCACGGAAACAGATTCCATGCATTCAGGTCCTCTACCAATATTATTAGCTCCCGATGAATAGGTTGTCTGGCCTCTCTGCCTAAAAAGCCGGCATACACAAGTAGTAGAAGGCATACTCGGACAACATCGACGTCATCCATCCGAGTGAAACCAGCTTTCTTATTAAACAATTTCTTCAGGTCGTCGACATGTAGGTTCGGCTTCTCCATTGACTCATCCGGAAAAACCCGGGATAACCATGATGGGCGGGCGATATGACGAGTGTACCGGCCTACATCATCGTGTCCGAATCGTAGACCAGTGATTAAGCAGAACTCCTTCCGCCCAAAACAAGTATACGCTGGTGGAAAATGAAACCATATCTCTTCCTCACCACGTTGTATACTGTCGGGTAGATTTGATGTCATGGTCTGAAGCCACAAATGGGTCAAATTAGCATCTCCACCCGGATGCTGTACTCTCAGCCATGGCCCGAAGCAGGTTTCCTCAAACAATTGTCTTTGAGCAGGTGAAAGCTTCGAAGCAATTGTAGTGGCCAGGCTGACTTTATTTCTCAAGGTCAATTGAGCCGAAAAAAATTTCTACAAAAACAATAAACATACCAAGTTAGATATACCAAAAACTACACTGTGAAGATATACCAAAAACAATAAACATAAAAAGTAGTAGTTTATTCTTGAAACTAAAATTTACAACACTGTTTTGTCTTTTGGTTGAAATGAAAATCGCAACGAGAGAATCGCAACGCGAAATGAAAATCGCAACGAGAGAATCGCAACGCGAAATGAAAATCGCAATGCGATTTTGGTTTCGCGTTGCGATTCTCTCGTTGCGATTTTCATTTCGCGTTGCGATTCTCTCATTGCGATTTTCATTTCTCTCGTTGCGACAGTCATTCTCTCGTTGCGATTTTCATTTCTCTCGTTGCGATTTTCATTTATCTCGTTGCGACTCTTCTGCAAATTGAAACTTGAATGGATTGCATTACTTCAACCAAAAGACAGAACAAAGACAAAGACAAATACTAACTTGAAAATCGCAACGAGAGAATAGCAACGCGAAATGAAAATCGCAACGACAGAATCGTAACGCGAAATGAAATCTAAGTGAAATGGTTAATCTATTATTGAAATGACCAGTAAACTTATCATCAGTTTCAATATGAAAAACCTACAATAATGCAAACATTTCAAAATAAAAATAATTAAAAAAACTAACCTTCGGAGGTTGATTTTCCATTTCTGAATATTGTGAGGGATTTCTGACCGTGAATGGTTGTGAGGGATTTCGCCGGAGATGGGGACGGAAATCTTCGGAGATGGGGACGGATTTCTTCGCCGTAGAGAGTGAGAGATGGAGATGGGACTGAGTTGTGATTTTAGGTTTTAGGTTATGAGTTGCGATTACGGGATTTTGTCTTAATATTCGTTTTTGTAATTTGAAAATAAAATACGCGTAGCGATTATAATGGCGCTTTAAATATCGCGTTGCGATTTACGGATACGCGTTGCGATTTTATGTATTATCGTTGCGATTTACGGATACGCGTTGCGATATACGGATACACGTTGCGATTTACGGATACGCGTTGCGATTTATGTGTTCGCGTTGCGATTTTCATATTCGCGTTGCGATTTTGGAAAATCGCAATGCGAATTTGTACTATCGCATTGCGATTTTCAAGAATCGCGTTGCGATTTTGGAAACTGATTTGCGATTCTGGGGATCGCGTTGCGATTTTTATTTCGCGTTGCGATTTTGTTGGTCATTTTGGCAAATCCAAAAAAAGTTGGTTAAAATCGTATATTATAACTTTTTTTTTGTCACTGAGACGATTTTCTCTATAAAAAAAACAGCAAGCATTAATACAATAGTATAGTGTATTAATACAGTACAGCTATTCAGTTATATCTCATGCCGTGCTCGATTGAATATTAACAGATTCTAACATGTTTATCCTCCTGCTTTTAATCTCACATTATCTTTCATGACCTTGTGGCCACTCTACATTTTTAATAATTTTGAAAGTATGTTATTTTTATTTAGTAATTATATATATATATATATATATTTCTTTGTTACCAACCAATATTTTTCATCAATTTTTTAAATGTAAACAATTTAACATATATTTTAAAATTTACATGTTAGAATTGTATATTTGATTTTTACCTACAGAGACCATTGTCGGTGGTTCTAGTTACCAAAAGAAAGGAATTCACAGAAGAAGAAGAAGAAAAAATAATACTTACAGTTTCAAAGTTATTGAAAGAGAGAATACATATTAATTAATAATTTCGAGATATAAAATTGGTGTGATGCGTTTTCTTTTTTGGTTTCTTTTATTGTTATTATTAAAGTGGGATTGACCCCATCTACTTCACACAAAATCAAATCCCTCACCCTTCCCATTTCCATATCTCCTCATCACCAAACAACAGCAGCCACCCCACCACCACATTACACACAGATTGAAAGAAAGAAAGAAAGAAAGAAAAAAATACAAAAAATCTTGTACATTAGAGGGTATCAGCAACCAAGCCAACCGGGCTGAATCATTGAATTTATGCACGTGGGACTGGAAAACAATTTTATAATAAATTTTCTCACCATTTTCCATCTTCCCATGTTTAGCTGCATCATCCCACCTTTAAAAGAGAGAAAAATCCTATGGTAGAGAGCAAATCACCACACTTTTAAACTATGCTGGTTCACCTGCAAGTAGATCAACACTGGAGTAAAATATATTGTTGGAATGAGATACTTGACTTGGAGAGACAGTTATATGAGAAGATATTATTTCATTATTGGCATGGTAGGCTGACACATTAAATGTATTAAACAAGTTGACAAGGGTGGTGGTGTCCCTGCCTGGATTTAGCTGTAAATGTTCCTTCAGCAAATAAACAAATGCAGAGTTTAGAATGAAAAATAAGGATTTAGAATTACACCTTTGAATTGTTTAAAGTTTTGTTTTTTATGGCATGAGGGAAACGATGGTGGTTTTCATATATTGCATGTGGTAAACCGGGAATCTTGTCCGATGGCCACCAGCATTCGGCATGCAACTTCAAGCAACTTCCCTGCCAAACATTCGGGTAATGAAGTATTAGTCACGACTCACAACACAATTAATAATACACCATCTTAACTTTATGAAAACAACTCCCCAATACCCCAACTAATATATTAATCACATTGCCTATGCTTTCTCTATAGTGTATGTATTTTAAAGCTAAGTTATTGCAATTTAGGGAAAATTTGAGAGGGAAAGTCCAACCATATCATTGTGGTCCCCTCACAACGACCAGGGTGATGAAGTTCAAATTCCAAATCACATCTCTCTAAGACATGATTAAGCACCTAAACTCATTCCTAAATTGTTGATTAAGCTAAGGAAAGTGAGTTTCACATAATTAAATTAGACAAATCCAACACACATGGACCAACGTTGCATTTTATAAATTTATAAATTTTTAAAGAAAAATATATATTTTTTCAATAGAAAATTTAAAAAAAATATCACTAAAAATATCTAAAATATATAAAAATTTAATTAGTTCCAAAAAGCTAAAGGTCGCATAACCTTTAGCTTTTTTTCATAATTTATATTTTGATTTTTTTTTTGAATATAGTGGAGTATAAGCTTTCTTTTTTCTTTTCTTTTTGTGGATGTGGAAAACTAAATTTGAACTAAAAATGACTAAGAAAATGAAAGAAAACAATCACACACCTACTATATATTCTTAAAAATAATTATAAATATTAGTAAAAAAACAACAAACTAAAAGACATATCTACCCTTTGACTTATTCCCCCACCGACACTTCCGATTTACTAACACTATCCCGGTATCCCCCACCCACAAAAAAAAAGTCCCCGGAAACCACCGTACGGTTTTCTTGCCGCTACTATTCCCAGATTATAAAGAATTAAAAATATATAAAATTTCGGGAAAAGGGTAAGAATTTTATTTACCTCTTCTGGGTTTCGCTGTGGCAACTTTGATGGTCTTCTTTTCTTCCTTGGTTTTCTCTTCCAGCGGGAAAAGAACCTCGTCGATTCCCTGCACCGAGATCCTTCCGTCAGTGTAAATATCCGGGTCGAACAAATATGCGGATACATCTCCGTGCCCGAATTTGACGGACCCGTCAGCTTCTTGAGCCAATACTTTGTGTGGCAGCCTCAGTGTATCGTACGACACTTTTCCGAACCTCCTCACCGAATTGTACATGCTTTCCTCCGTCTGGTATTCGGGAATTATGTGGTAGTAAATGATTTGTTCCGGTGCGCCAGGTTCGCTTAGCTGGTCCGTGGTTAACTTGGCCATGGCTTCGTCGTTGGGTGCTAGAACTGTCAAAACGTAGCCCTCGGAGACCAAGCGCCCCATTTCGGTGGCTAACGACGTTAAGTTGACTAAAATATCAGCCATTTCATTGTACCCTCCGTATTGTACCAATGTTTGGATGAAATCTTTAACTTGTCTCATTCCGTTGAAATGGTGGTGAGGTCCGCCTGGTCCCGGAGCCGGAGCCGGAGCTAGTGATGGGCCTGGAGCCATTGCGTCGTAAATCGGAAGGACGGGCGACGTGCCGGGTTTGACAGGCGGAGTGGGTTTCTTCAAACGGTGGGTTTTGGGGTCAACTTCGGGAGCTCCTTCTGGTTTGATGGCGGAGATTGAGCGAAGACTTCTACGGTTGTTGAAATCTTGTTGTACTGATCGAGGAATTAATAACTGTTCGATGCCGTGGATGACACCGTCGGGACGGTTAACGGCATTGGGGTTAATTACCCTGGCTGTGCCAATGAATTTAGCCCCGGATGAATCTTCACTGGAGAGCTGAACTCGGTGATTGGATAAGGTACGGTGGAGGGCTGAGTCGGATGTGGAATTGGGCCACGAGTGCGGCTCAATCCTGGCGGGCACAATGTGGTAAAGCAAGAGAGTCTGGAGGGACTTGAGGTTGCCAGGTTCCAGTAAGAAGCGGTTGAATTCAGGGTCGAGATTCCGCTCCAGAGCTTCGTTCTTAGGAGCAAAAATGGTGATATTGTGTTTCCCAACAGATTCTTCCAGGGTCTGTAAAAGCAAAGCTTTCTCCACCAATTCGGCAAGCTCCGTATAATGCGAGTCCAGCAAAGCCACCAGGACCGAGTTGGAATTGATCTGACCCAAGTGATTAGCAGCCGGCGATGTGGTTTCTTGAAATGCCAGGGGGAATCCAAAACCAGACAAGAGAAAAAAGTTGAAAAAACACAACAAGAGACCCATCACTGCAACAGAATTTGGTACTGGAAACAGAAGGAGAAAGCAACGAGAGATTTCTTTATTTACTTCAAAGACCAAGCTTTCTTTATATTTGTCCCTGTTTAGCTTTCCATCTCAAGTTTCTGTATCTATAAGCTTTAAGTTTAGCTTTCACTGTCAACCCGCGCTTGAGAAGTGGTAATTAATTAAAGGGAAAAATGAGTGCAAGGTAAGGTTGGGGTTAAAAGTTTGAAAGTGGAATTGTTTTTCAAAGATTGCCGGCTTGGCTTGGCTTGACTTGTTGTGTATTGTCTTGTCCACGCTTTAGTTTAGTATTTGGTAGGAAGAAGGTTCTCTTTCTTTGGCTTTGGAGTTCACTTGAACCCCTTTTCAATGATTAATTTGTTTCGGCCAAACCATCATCAAACAGCTACTAGCTACCTGTACGACCATCCTCATGTTTATGTATGCTATGAATCTCAATTTCTTTTAATAAAACCCAAATGCACCATCAACCAATGAATCTGATACTCATAGATTGTCTATGCCCTTTTAAACCAATTCGTGACAAGCTTGTCAACATTTATTTTATTTTTTTTTATGAATAATCAAATTTATTATATTTTTTTTCTATATCTACTTCACAAAAGATCTCTTATTCACACAAAAGAGTACCTCCTCTATCATATCTTCGAAGTGCTACATCCTTTAAAATTTCTTAAAGCTCCCAAAATATTATATTCTCTGAAAACTCATCTTTTAATCAGTTACAATCTCTTGAAATAATCACGGACAAACTTGTGTAGATAAAAATTTTAAACACGATATTTAAAATATAAACCAAAATCAAAATTAAAACCAAACAAAGATAGATCAAGGGGCTGGCAGACCGTCCAATCGCCCTCTAAAGTTTACCTCTAAAATTTTATAAATTTATCCCCTAACATAAAATATTTCGTCAATCCGGTAGCCAAAGATTGCTTTGCTATTTGCTAAAGCAAAGAAACACCACAATTCAACCCAAGTAATAATGTTTCAATAACAGTACTGCAGCACGCACCATTCCAGTGTAGACATTATGACTGAAAGAATATATATACATAAATCAAGAAAGTAAAAAAACTTTATACTGGTGCGATGTCATACAATCTCATCTCACTTAATGTGGTCTGATGATTATCAAACTATCATCACCAACATTTTTTTAAATAAAAAATCTAAAATCTTTTATTAAAGATAAAAAAATAACCGGACAACATAATTGTGAAGCAAATTAGGAAAGCAATTGCCTGCATAATATTCTCAAATCACATGCATCGTTCTTCCAAGACAGTTCCAAACGTAAGCTTCTAAGTGAAACTTAGGGTGTAAAGTTGTGAATTCCCAACATCATGATCAACGTTTTTCCATTGAGAAATAGTTTTTTACTAAAGTACCTCGAAAATCAATAGGTCAGTGACATAAGTTAAACAGATTATAAGACAAATAAGCACCCCTACACCATATATGCTGGTGTTTAAGGTATTGAACTGACCTTTTGCCCTACCGTGCCTAATATAGCAAAAACAAGAGTTAACGTTTCTCGGTGCAGGGTGCGGTCATCAACCTAGGTGAAATGTGCATCTATGGATAATAAACTCATTTGCCAATCTCTTAAAAGGAAAATTTTTGATGAATAGCTCTAAGCTGTCCAGCTACATGTTTTCTCATTCTCTCTTCACTTTTCCTTTTCCATTCACTAGGTTCAAATGATAAATAAAGGACAATTCTGATCTACTAGTAATCATCGGATCCATCATCCGCATATAAACCATTGCCATCATCCTCATCATCAACAGGTTTATTCTTTGTTTTCAATAACCTACCAGAAGATTTCAAGGTTTTCATGGGCTTCTTGACCTTCTCCGCCTGTAACTCCAACCCCTTCTCTGAAAGCTTGCGTTTTCTTTTTGATTGACTGCCTCCAGCTGTGTCCTCTGTAACAATCCACAAATTAAACACCCTTCGTGTTAAACTTGGGAAGCCGACGTAGTACATAAAAAATATGACAAAAGAGTAACTAAGAGACTAAAAGTTTATGTTGATCTATGGCTATAATTTAAAATCACAGCATCTAACTCAAAATACACACAACGGGTTAAGCACTTTCCCCCCAAAACTGAAAAGATTTGCTTTTACATTATTTTCAGTTTTTTTATGAAAGTCTAAAGAAATAGATATCCATTTGTCATCATCTGTAATATCATTCCCGTGTCTTACATGACATCAAAATTCACTTTAAGGTGTCGAAAGATTCAGTTAAAATTCAAAAGCAAATGACTCAGAATGCAGAAAACTTCTGAACATTCCATTCAACTTTTCTTTCTTATCTTCATAAATATCCATTTTAGTTCACTCATTGTTTCTACTATTCCACAATTATTTAAATTGGTTGCATTCAGTAATAAATTAATAATCATCTCTAGATTTTAAATGGAAGACCAACCTAGCAAATCTAAGTTAAGACAAAATGCCAGCATCCTGATCCAACTCAACAACACAACAGCAAATTCAAACCCCCTTTGAAATTGCTGAGATTTATGTTTATTACAAGTCATTACTCACACATGAAACTGCATATCAATGATATTCTACCAGAAAGCAATGACAATTTCATATAGAGATATTCTTCTATTTCAGTTTAAAAATAACAATACTCTTACGAAATTTAAATGAAATAGGGGAAAATTTCACCAAATGCAGTAGACTTCACACTTATTGGGCATATGCATGCATATGAAACTATGAATACAAAATGTTTGAGCAATTAGTACTATTAATGCTGACTTGTATGATCTTTTCGCACATGACATAACTAATTGTCATCAAGAAATCAAACATGAACAATTACATTATTATAAGAATAGATTACAATTTTTCTTCTCCTAAAGTTCAATGCATGTAGAATAAAGGGAACAGAATAGAAGGAAACAAAACAGAACATTTCTTTTCTTGTATAAGACAATAACACCAAAATGTGAAACAACGAACTCTACCAGAACCCTTCATCCATCCCAACAACATAAATTAACTGGCTAAGTGGCTTCTTAGACCACCTTTTTACATTATACAGACTTAGAGGATGCAGGAGAAAATGGTGTTGAGCATAATCCACATAAATAACTACTTATCAAACCACTAAGTTGGGAATTCTATTTTCTTAAGAGTAACCCAGAAGGTTCATCCACAACTCATTTGGAATTTAAGATCATTTATTTGGGAACCTATTTTACAAATGAGGAGCAATGAACTTCACTGTTTTATGCAGCTAGAATACCATTCCAATCAAACCGAACTAAAACGGAGATTGAAACATTTATTATATTTGAGGAGAAAATTTTACCCTCAGGTGGACTTGAGGCATTGTGGGCTGCTTGTTCATTCTCTTCAGAGAGAGGGGATCCGGAATGATTACTATCAATCAACTTTGATGAACTTCCCACACATTTGTTCTGCTGTTGGGGATCATCGGGACAAGGAATAGCAGGCAAGAAGCGTAACTCCTCTTGTGACATATCAGAATCACTGAGTGGATCCTTCTCCACTGTCGCAATATCAACTTCATCATCTTCATTTATATCTGATTCTTTCACCTGCACCAAGAATATTTTAGAAACAAAAAGTTAATCAAAATATAACATTCATGCACAACATCTGTTTTGCATCACCTTTTCGGTTTCAGGCACCAGATCAAACTCGTCTTCTCGTTCTACATACTCTTCATTTTCTTCAAGCTCTTTGAAATCAGGAGCAAATGCACTCCAGTTTTCAGTGTAGTCTTTAGCCCAAATATAAACCAAGCCAGTCAAGGAAACAGATACAATAATAGGGTGGACAGGATGCCACACTAAATCAAACACGGCTTCCTTTGGACCTTCAAGTATTTTTACAAGATGACCAGCTCGGTCCCATATGTACATCTTATGCTCTCCTTTGATAGCAGAAGCAGCTATTACCCACTCACCATCACCACTGAAACATGGTGCTTTCCAATGGATCTTTGTGATTGAATCTTGAAACTCCCGAAAAAGAACTAAGCATTTGGATCCAACAGCCTTCAGCTTCTCAAGAGTATCTTCCTCTTTGATGGTCTTGTTAAGGTCATCAAGAGCTCTAAGTCCATCTTTCAGGGGAAGAATATTTTCATAAATCCTGATAACTCTATCATTTGAATTTGTAAGGAGATACTGTCCATTTCTGCTGAAAACAATGTTCTTGATCATAGCACTGCCAGAAATTGGAACTATAGCAAGTACTTTGACATTTTTGTGATCTACTATAAGTATTTCACCTTTGGAGTTCCCCACGTATACCAGATCTCCATTCTTGTTAAAGCAGGCAGCAGTCAGTGTGTAAGAGGTTCCATCAGGGATCTTGTTACGAGAAGGCGGAGCAACACCATTTCCCATATCGGAAACAATGACTGGGAGTGCAGTTGTGCCTCCAGTACTTAAGTCAACAATCATTGGAGCAGATGATAGGGGGCAAGCTAAGCAGACAGATGGCATTGAGGAACCCGGATGTAGACGAGCTTGTAGAGGCGTTTGTTGCAGAACGATACGAGTAATCTTCTCACCATTGACAACATCCCAAAGTGTTAATGACTTGTCAGCAGCAGACACAAGAATTCGATGACCATACTTTGACCAGCAGACACTTGTTATAGCAGCAGTACAGTCTTTATCTCTAAGCTCCTTGGCGATGCCCCTGGTCTCAAAGTCCCAAATAACACAACTTCCATCAGAGCATCCAGCTGCCATTAAATGCAAAAACCACAAAATATGTGCACAAAGTGAGATTTACTGGCATGATGTTCTTAAACACATAATTGCAGGTTCAGCAGAAAAAACAATCAGAAGAAAAATACTCTAAAAAATCATGAACTGCAATCCGTCATACTTTCCCCAGCCAACTAAATAGCCCACACAGGCACAGCAATTTATCAACTTAAATAGAAAAAAAGGAAAACAAATCAAAAGAAACCCCAAGATAGAACATAGAAAATAAGCAAATGTTGTTTGAGCAAAATCATATATGAGCAAAAGATACCGCATTTTGATGGGATTTCCCTGTTTTTGTTATGTTATTAACAATTAAGTATGGGTTTTCTTCCCCTTGTTCAAATTTTAGTTAATAATTGAAACCAAGTAAGCCTTAACCCCGAAAAGAACTTGTCTTACAACTCCAACTAGCTCAAATCGCTAAGGAAAAACCACAGCTTTTCAATCAAAAACACTGAACATTCATAGCATCAATTTTCTTTCGAAAAATTACAATAAAGGGAGGGAGATTTACCTGCGAGAAGAGTACCACGGCGATTAAAGGCGATGCATTTCATAACCCCATGCTCCAAATACTCTTCTATCACCTCTGGAAAATCTCCTTGCAATGGATCTTCCATAGAAAACCCAATTTAAGAAAACAATAAAAGAAATAATTTTTAAAAATGAGAAAAAGAAAGAGAAGAGGTTTAACCAATAATTGGGGCATTCATCTTCGACTAGCTTTGAGCTCCCACTGAGACAGACACCCTAAGAGGAAAGAATTCTCGAAGAATAACTGAATAAACCCTTTTTCTTATTCTTGAATTTGGACAAAGAGAACATAATCTAAACCCCCACCTGTTACCACTTACCTGCTGGAAACAAAGGAAACCAGATTTTGAATTATTTGAAGAAACAATGGGATTATTAGAGAGGGAAATCCTCTGAAGAACCGCGCTGTACCAAACTATGTTTTTGGCAGATCCTCGGCTTATATATGTCCCAAGGTTCCTTCAACAAAGAAAATGGCTTTGGGCCGAATGAGTTTGGACTTAGATTACTAGTACAAGACAAAACTGTTCTCCATACTATTAAATTTTGAATGCTAATTATTTATATTATTATAATTTTAAAATTTTGTCAATTATAATATTAATATTTGGTTTTCATTTTAATTCATAGAATTAAAAGTTTGGTAATCTAAACCAATTAACATTTAAAATTCAATACTTTGATCGGTAAAATTAAAAATTTGATAATGTAAACGAATCAATATTCAAAGTTGATGATATCTTGAGTAATTTTGTAAAGATATAATTCTTTAGCATATTATTCTCAAATTGGAGGACTTGCTAAATATTTAAGTTTATTTTTGTTTAAATTTTATTAAATTACATATATTAACTTTTTAATATCCATTTTACCTTTTATATTTAATTTTTTACATATATTTTTCTTTAAGATTGAAACTTATTTTTTTATTAAAGATATAATATGCCTAGTAACTATACCAAACATTTATTGATTTATTATGATATTTTTAAAATAATAATTAATGAATATGTTATCGTGTCTTTTGGACGCAATGAGCATGTAAATGTGCTTAGAATGGGGACCACCTTAAGGGCAGATAGGGTTTTGATATCTTTGAATTTAATCTAACATCATCATAATAAATTTGATATCGACTTTATTTGAGTTATAATTTTTTTAATTTATCTTAATATTGAATTAAAAATTTAATTTTGATTAAATTTAATATAATTTTACATAATTTAGTATGGATTAGTGAAAATAGATGGTTAATATTGATTTTTTTCAATAAATATCTTCTTATTTTCTGCTGATAATATTAACCATCTACTTTTACTCATCCAAATGTTTTAAATCTGTGTAAAACTAAAAGAATAAAATCGTCTCTCAATTTTTCTTTCATATTCCTTTCTACTTGCACATTTTATCGTAACAATTGATTTGAATGGGATTAAGATTAAACAAAAACCAAGTAACAATTGATATGTATGTAATTAATTAAAGGAAATAAATGCATACATACATGCATGCATGCATACATAATATGTTTGAATCTTTGCATGGTATCCATCCAACCACAAACTCCCAACTCTGAACCCAAAATGAAAAACCATCAAACAGAGTAGTTACAGGGAACCGGTGTTGGTGTGGAACATGGGAGGGAGAATCAGAAGCAACAAACAACAACCACTTCCTTCCCATTCTCATCTTGCGTGTTCATGGATCCATCAATTTTGGTACCGCAACTTGCATCATCCGACGACCCACTCCTGGTTGGCCTTATTTTCTTTTGGTCCTTAGTCGAATATCAAGTTGACATTATCCTCGAATGCGATATCATCAAACAAGTTTGGTAATTCGCCTGTTTCTTCAAGATGGAAGTCCGGAGCAAAAAACAATGTCAAACCCGAATCCATGCAGAAACTCCATACTAGCTCGTTGCCATCGGTCGTCTCCGCCTGACCATCGTCGCGTTATCAACACATAGAGGCAGCTGCATGTAATGGAAAAGTTGAGGTATATCATCAGGTTCTTCCACTCCTTGTTCTTGTTGTTGCGGAGGTTGTTCGACTTCTTCGGATCCTATCAGTCGAGTTTCGGGGACTTTTGTTCTTGCGTTTGATCGAGAAACGAAATTCCTTTCTTCTTCAAACGTTCTCTGTACCGGCTAACATCGAAGTTGGTCACGGCATTAGCCCCCCCATACTCCAATGCCGCCATATCATATGCTACTACTGCTGCTTCCTCTTGGTGTCTTGAAAACAAGACAGTAAAACATACATAAATGAAGAACGCCTAATGGTTTCAACTAAAACCACATCGATTTAAATAAATTCGAACCCGATCCGACCCCGACTTTATTTCGATTCAAAAACGAATTCCGGGGCTTACCATAAGTTCCCAAATACAGATATTTGTTCCCGAAAACTCGACCAATTCGAGCTTCTCATTTCCCATTGTAGTGATGCCTAGCCACCCCACGGTACTTAGAAACTCCCCTTGAGAATCCACTGCTCCGCCGGCGTAGGGAAGCCAAGTACTCACTGTACTCTTCCTTTGACATCTTCATTTCTTCAATCTCCTTTTCTTGTCCATTCATCTGGATTACATAATACAGTACCCATCACACCATTTTCACAATTTCTTTGCTTTTTTTCACACGGCAAATCCAAAGCAATATTTTTTACCGGAAAATTCAAGGTGGTTTCCGGTCCCCAATACTTGAGTGCTGCGAGGTCGTAGGCACGTGTTGTATCCCCCTCACTCTCAAAAGCTCCTGCACATCAAGATTCCACCTTTTCCCCTTAAATATAATGTATTTACTCAACTACAAGAACAGATGGAGAGTGAGTGACGTAAAAGACTTACCCAGATAAACTAAGGAGACGACATAAGTGTAAAAGAATGGAAAAGAAAGAAAACAGAGTCAGAGCTGAAACTAAACCATAAAGTACATTTAAAAACTAAAATATTAGAGATCTGCTTGTCCTTGAATTTCCCTTTTTTTCTCTCCCCAAAAGGAGAACATATTACCTTGTCTTCCTTTCTTGCTGTGGATGTTATTCCATGAAGACTTGTCCCAAAGGTGAGACTCAAATCTCCCAGTCCGTCTATGCCTTTGTTTAAAAATAAAATAGAAACGAATCAAAGTATCAGACTTGCAATGCGAAATTAACCCAAAAAAACGCATACATTTTGGCTTTAAATTCTTCTCATTAGAACAGCAAACCTGGTGACTCCTTCGTAAATGTAGCTTCTTCTGGTAGAGTTGTCATTGGAGCTGCATTTTTACGGAAGTTTCGATGGTTTCTACTACCCCTTTTACCCTCGGGTTTCTCTGATTCTACTGATGAAGAAGAAGAAGGTGAAGTGATGGAAGAATTAGAAGAACAAACTGGAGACGTCTTCATTTATTATTTCTTTTTTCTATACAAAGTGAGCACACTAGTATGTATAAGCTTCAAGAGATTGAGGATTAGTTGTTAGTTGCATGTTTAGGTGATATTCCCACTTATATATACATAATGAGGATATTTATAATATTGGTTTTGTGGAAATGGGAAACTCCCAAAGGAAATTATTAAAAGAAAATTTTGGAGAGACCGAAGAGTTTGGATTGGGAATGTGGAATTTACTTGGGAATGTAATTTACATTCCCCGTTTGGTTTGATCGGGAATGTCATTCTCGGTAATGTTTTATTATCAATAGTAGATTTCTTAGGGTATATTACCGAGAATGTCATTACCTCCTTTCCCTTAGGTATTATAACATTACCGGCGTTTTGGACTAAAATACCCTTAAATTTTTATTTTTTTTTAAAAATATCATTCTTCTGTCATTGAATAATAAAAATTCTATGAAAGTTAAATTATAAATTTATCCTTAAATTATTTTAGATTTATAAAAAAAAATCTATAATTAAAATTTTATATGAAGTTCAATTTTACCCTTTCATTAAACCTTTTTATATTTTTAATTTTATAAAAAAAATATAAATATTATTAATTTAATTTTTTAAAGAAAATATATAATTTTTTACAACTTGTAATATTATACAAATATATAATAATGACAGTTTGGTCAAATATACATTCAAATAATCTTTTATTCCTTTAACCAAACACGATAATCTTACATTCCTACTAAACCAACCAAACACAAAATACAACATTCCCAGTAATCCTATTCCCTGATAATCTTTTATTCCCACTAGTAATCTTACATTCCGTGAACCAAACGCACCCTTAAAGTTAATTTTGCCAATTTATAAATATTTAAAGATTGGCATGCCACCAACACTTGGGTAAATTTCTGGATAATCAATCTTTTTCTATATTTATACATTTTTGTTCACTAAATTTTTAAAAAGTATGTTTTGAACATTTATTTTATCGATTTATTAAATTTTATTCACTTATATTATCAATTGTTATATTTTGGTCAATGAGGTGATAACTTAATTTGATGGCATGATATGTTAGTAGAATATGTAGCTTTATTTTGAATGCTTGTTTATTATTTTAGGTTGATTATAAAATAATATTTGTTCGAAAGATTATTAATTATATTTAGCAATGAATACTTAAACACTCTTACCTCGATATCTTTAAAAATAATAATCATCCCTTAACTACTAAAATCTTTTGATTCGTGCTTAAAAATATTTTTACATATTAAAATCTTAATTTCATTCATAAAACTTCAACACTTAATTACCTCAAATATATGAAGAAATATTATGCACCTTGAAAATCTAAAACATCTAATCCTCGTGTTATTCACTAATAATCAATGATATGCTTGATTGAAAAGATACGACAAATATATAGCTCAAAACAATACATCTTATCAGTGTACTATTAATGCTTAGGATAACGTTGTTGCGTTATACGAGCACCAATAAATATTATTAAATTAATTTATAAGATGTTAATTAATAAAATATTAAATATATAATTATAAATTAGATAAAAATTTAAATGTAATTTAATTAAAATATAATATTTATAAAATATTAGTTTTTAAGATTAAATATATCATTAATCACCTAACTATTTATCTATTTTACTTTAATCACCGATTTTTAAATTTTGCCAATCGAATCCTCTAACTATTTAAATTTTATCAATCAAACCACCTACTGTTAAATATTAGCAAAATATATGACGTGACAGTTAATAAAATTTGTATAATTATACATTTAATCCTCATTATTTACACATTCTATTAATTTGGTCCTAACTTTTATTTAATTCAATAAATTTAATCATCAATCTGATGGTGACATTTGTCATTGTGTGATTGATCTTTTTTTAATATTTTTATTTTTAAAAAAAAATCATACAATCAAATGATGCCACTTATCACAAATTGAATTAATGGAAAATAAATTAAATCAACAACTATTGCTGGTGGGATTGGAACCCGAGACGCAAGCCAAAAAATTAAGCACCTTAACCACTAAGCTGAACTACTAAATTTGTCTAGTATCCAGAACATAATTTATATAATTTGTAATATATTAATGGTAATAAATGACCTTATAAGAACTCAAACATGAAATAATTGACCAAAACTTGATCTCTGATCATTGGAACTAAGAATCCAGCATCCTATTAGCATACCACGTAAAATTTAATCAAAATACATTTGATATGAGCACAAACAAATGAAAATCGATGACAGTGTGAATAAAGAATAAAATCAAACTACAAATTTATAAATCAAACTAAAACAACGTATTCTTTGTTAGATTTCAACTTCTGAAACCAACGCCATCAACTAGAAGGGTTTTCCATTAACATTATTATCAATTTTACTTGTTTGAATCATATCAAACATTAAAGGATTAAATTACTCAGCTCCATAGTTCAAGGATTAAATTGTCACTTTAACAATATAATACAAGGATTGTCAAAATACCTTTTAATCCTTTATACGATAATTAGCCTATAAATTGATGCTTATCGCATCACCGTAAGGATGGAAGATGTTTATGCAAAAAAGACTATTGCTGAAACTGTTAGGGTCACATTAAAGTTCAAGCAACCGGTAGCCTGCAGGATATCAGTTTGCAAAAGACGATACGCAAAAGTTTCGCACGATACATAGCTCGAATGACCAAAATTAAATGTAGCATGAATCTTTCATCCTAATCTCAAGCCGCACTTCCCGGTATCCTAAACAATCTGGTTATAGTATAGTATTATGATGCATACCAGATCATTGGGCCGAAAATGGATGCATTGTGCACACTAGAAATAGACTTCATTGCATCCTTTGCTTGGCATCACTTATATGAAACATAAGCTGCATGTAAAAGGAAATCAGTGCTAGCCAGATAGGCATGGAGAAAATAATTAATCCTTCATTTGGTAGGGAGGATGGAGAAAGATTCGGAATGAAATTTTTTAAACATGCTATTTTGTACTTCAACATTTGGATTATCCTCTTTTCCCCTTCCTTTCTCTTCTATGTCCTTCCTACCAAATGGAGTGTAAAGGTGTCTTATGCCACTTGGCACTTACCTTAGTTCCCACGTAAAATGTCAGAAGCATAAAACCCAAGACACGCAGTCCTGAAAATAGGGTATAGCATTAATCAGACAACTTCAAGGCAAATAAGATGGATAAAGCAGGGTGATAGGTACTTCCATACCTTCTTTGCTGAGGAATTGAGAAATCAACCAACTAAAGCCTGACGGACCAATAACATAGCCAACAAGGTTAGCAACCTGCATAAAAACATATTTCATCATGATTTTTGCTTATTTTCCATAGAATAAGGTTCCATTTGTTTGGTGCTTTTGTCAATTACTTTTGAAGCATGCAAGAAAAAAGAAAGAAAGAAAAGAAGCAAAATAACCTTTTGAAGGATTGTATATCAATTATGTACTTTTATTAAATGAAAAAAATGCATGATACCATAATATGTACCCGAATTATGCAATAACTGTACTGTACTTAATTATTTTTCTGTTTCAAATCAACTATGATATGGTTTTTTAACTTTTACATCGGCTTTAAAGCAATTTCTCTAAAAGCATAAAGCAAAAAAGCAACAAATATGTAAATGGGAAAAACATAAACCATATGGAATTTAAACAACGGGCATTAAAAAATTCAATAATCCAACAAACTCATGGTCATCAATTTGACAGGTGAAAATTTCAAAATAGGCTTGTCTTTGCTAATAAACACCAGTTAACAGAGCAAAGCTCCCATGAAAATTCATTGATTCAGGTATTCATCTGTTTAGCAAAAGGTGCATTAAGAGAAGGCTAGCAACTGTAATAACTTCTTTAACTGAAGAAACTCCTAGACCATAAAACAGTGAAGCACGATACATCAGATAAATGCTGGCATGGAAAAAACTGGAGGGTATAAGAAGTCGCAATATTAGGTTCCTTTGTACACAATAAGACTGACCATGAGACAAGTGATTGTGATAGCACCGCCAGCTGCTCTAAGCTCACGAAAAAGAAATCCTTCCAAAGCACCCTTGGCCTGGGAACGAAGATATCATGAAGCTTGTTAGAAAAGAATGAGAATTATCATTGCCTTACTTATAACAGCAATCCTCAAATATAGGGGCGTCATCTCAATACCTCATCCGATCTAGGATTTATATATAGAGATTAAACATATCCTAAAAACTCTATAATGCTTGCACAAATGCAGGAAAAATGGTTTAGCCATTAACCTCATCTACAAAATTTACATATGACATGATGTGCATGCATACAAGGGTGATAAAGTTCATCAGTACACTTCCCATGCATATTACCATGGGTGCAAAAATACAAGTGTTGCTGAAGTTTGTTCCTTCAGTCTGACCAAATTAAGCAATGTACCAACCCAAATACATGTAAACTAACACAATCGAATTGTATATACACTTCTATCACTTTCCATTATTTAGTTCTAAAAAGGGATCCCATGGTCTTCTGGTTGAACCATATTTTAAATATACACCAAGTCCTGACTACAGGCTACAACAGCGGAAAACCCACAAGATGAAAGCCACTTATGCCTTATACAACCTCTTTTTCACTTGCGTGCATAATGAGAGGTTAACATTCACAGCAAAGGATTACTTCCCAGATAATGATATTAGCCAGGTCAAGGTGCCTTCAGGCTAACTGAGAAGGTTCTAAAAGGTCATGCAAAAATACTAATTTGTAGAGAACATAGACTTAACCTGGAATGCATTTGCAGCTGATTTCACCAACAATTCAGGAACGAAGAATAAACATGTTAGCCATGCCCATGAAAGAAGTTTCCTATGACCAAAAGCAATGAGCAGTTACATAAGGAATAGTTTACTTGTACAGAACAAAGAAAAGAACTACCCAGTAGTTAGAGATACCATTCTAAATCATGCCATACAGCAACAAATGTGAATATAACCCATATGTTGAGTAGCTTTCTTTGAGACCCACCAAGAGGAATATACAAGTACCTAAAAGTTATATTATATTGTAAGTCGGCATGTCAAATGCAAAAAAGCATAACAGTGAGCTGTAGAGAAAGAGTGGTAAATGAAAACCTCACAATCCATTTGTTGAAGGACGCATGCCAATTTTTCCAAAAGCTTTCCAAGTTATGACAATTATTGACACACTTTGGCATGTTTTCCGGAGCCTCAATTCCAGCAATCTACAATTATGAAAGTTTGAATGAATTTCTTCATATGGGTAAAAAGACCATAGCTACAGTATTGGTACAAGTTATTACTAAAGGGAGTGATGTGAACCAATGATTAAACCATCTAAGATGGACCTCAACAAGGAGGCATAAAAGGGGGAAAAGTACTAAACATCATCCTTAAAGTGAACATACCAGGGACCAAAACCGGAAATAGCGCCAGATAAGGAAAAACTTTAACCACATGAAATTTATGACCTGTACCAGTATAAGGAATAGTATTAGAAATCATCTCGATAATTTATGCATTTACACTTGGAAAACTTATGGTATATAGCAGCGTAAGACTATAGCTGACATCATTTTAGTTTATGTCATATCAAACTCTTCAATGATGCCATAAGATTCTTGTTCTCATTGAGGATAGGAGCTTAAGACCTCAGTGCTCAACAAATTTTAGGAGTGGTGTTTGCTAGCATCACTAATATCTTTATTTTAACCATACATCACTTCTCAACATTGGTTAGAAAATGAAATCTTTTCTTAAGCACTGGGTGCTTCAGGATCAATGCATAGTCATGATATCTATCTGCCCTTCACGAGTCCTTCCCATCAGGACCAGCTCAAATGGTACCGATTATACGAGAACAAAAGGAAAATTTTGGTTTTCTCGATTTTCTTTCTTTGAAAAGCAAACAGATGTTCTCAAAGGAACATAATTCCCAGTTCAATTTCTTTTTTAATCATATATTTACATAGATATCGTCCAATTATTAGGCAGGCACCTCTATTCTGTCTTAGCGAAAACAGCCAAGAGTTTTTCTATTTGCATATTATACTAAATCTTAAGGCTCTTTCTTTGCCTCAACATGTGAATGTGTAACCTGTCATATTTTAAGGAATTCCAAGAAAGATTTCGATAAGTAGACTTTAACTCCTTACCCCATATCCAATTATGAATATGTCCATAGGAGACAACATTTTCCATGAAGCACTGGTCATTGCAAAAAGAAAAAGTTAACAGACAGTAAAATGAAGCTCTAAAAGATTCGCTAAACTAAAATGTAAGCTTCAACCACGAATATCAAGAAACTCACCTGACAGCAAACGCATTAAAATAAAACAGATGAGTCATTAGTTCCATAAGAGACAGACCAAATACCCAGCGTAGCCCATACAAAGTCACCTCTATAATGGAGTACTGAGTTTGTGGCACATCTAGCTGCAAAAATTAGTAACAAGAACACCTAATGAAATTAGACCACTTATCATTGATAACCAGAGTATGTTTTACTGGAAGTATAAACAGTATAAAATACTCGTACATGAGCAAAATATTTTCTTAGGGGTTAGAGGGGAGGGGGGAATGAAAGGTACAGTGCAATGTTTGGGAAAATTAAATTTGAGAGAATTTCAATTTGGTTCATTATAATGTTGTGATGATGGTTAAGATCACTTTGAATTTCCCTTATTTAGTTTAGTTATGTAATATTCAATTACATCCCTATGTAGAGATTTATCAAATCCATGGATTTGAAAATAATCATGAAAGTCATTTTTTATGAGTTTTGTGGCGAAGTTTACATTATGTTTGAAATAGAAATCCTCTCTTTCAAATCCAAGTTTCCAAGTGCAACTGAGAATTTAGACCATGCACTTTAGGATATCAAACAGATCATGAGACATTTCATATGGAACAAAAACCTTCTATTTCTGATCCAAGAGGGATGAGGGCGCATGAGTTTAATAGCTTCTGCACAGGTGCAGGAATAGCTAAGTGATTTCTACTTTCACATTCGACCTTCAGAAATTCATTCAATTAAACAACTGTTTAGTAATAGCCAGGAATATATAACTACTTCATCATTTTTCCAGTTTTTTTATTAATAACTTGCAATTCCATTCTAAAATGATAAAACAACAGTCTGCAGTTTCACTTCAACTATAGAAGGTATCTAATGTTTAACAACCATCTCATCAGTCATGTGCATGGGTGATTCTGTCTACAGAAGGAGAAGGAGAAGCAATAGTATTCATTTCGAAGTGACAAACCTGGGAGACAAATGAATTAAAACTCATGATTGGCCCTGCTATGTAAAGTGGTGCAAACACCAGATAACTAAAGTATGCAGTGAAGGTATAATCATTGAGATGAACATTTCTCTCCTGCACGGGACATGTATTTATGAGAAAATGAATACTTTTAGGCAAGTAACAAGAAGTGACGCTCCTATCTAGTTAGCAATTAACCTGTAGAATTTGATAACAGTTTTTTCCTGATTTACAAACATTGCATCTTTGGATATGCTTCTGCAATTACCAAAACAAGAAATAATCTGAAAATCTGATATTCTAGTCAGACAAGATAGACAGAATTTGCATATGTATAAAGATAAACTCTGAAGCAAACATGCAACGTGTAAACCTAGAAATCAGAAAATTCCTAAGAGAGAAGGAAAGAAAGAGTGTTCTTTAAACAGATAGATCCATAAAGCAGGATATCTTAAAATTCTAGGGAAAGTTGTTCTTCATGACATGTTAAGGTTGGAAACACTGTTTATGCTCTTGAAGCCAGAGTTTGAAGACCTGATGGCAAATGAAAAGAAACAAGGGTAATGCTAAACTTAATTGAAAACACTGCAACAGTTTAAAGGATGCACGAGAAATGCAGAAAGAAAGCAAATAATAATTAATGTCCTTGTACACAAACATATTCTGAAGGTGAAGTAACAATTCCTAGACTACTTATGATGCGATTGTCAACTATTTACCGGCCTTTTCATTTACCTAACAGATCCGATAACACACCTCATAGTCAAACTGATATTAATTAGACAGAAAGCAAGGAATCATGCAAAATGCACAAACAAGAGGACAATTCCAATGATAGTCTGAAGGGAAAAAAGGAAGTTACAGGAGAGTGGGAGGGGAAGTTGAGCGAGAGGGAGAAAAAAATAGTGGAAACTACCTCTTTATCAAAATGTGAATCTTGATGTGCCCAATGGTAATCGTAGCCAAAGCTTATCATGCGCAAAACAACTTTCAAATAAAAATGCCAAAAAAATAGTCATAAAACCTTCCAATAGATATATGTGAACCATTAAATACCAGCTTAAGAGTTATCAAGTTAACGAATATCTTTCTTCCTTTGAAGAAGGAAGAACATTCTTGTTTGAGAACCCTAATTTTTTTTGGTTATAAACAGTATTTTACTCAGAATTCTCAGTAGCAGAATCGAAACACAACCAAGAAGTAAATTGCCGTTTTTTATACAATATAAACATGTATTGCCAAGTTGACCTTTGTTTGTAAAACCACAATCTGCAAAGGAGATTTGTTTTCAGGGCTTGTCTTTCTTGTTCAACTTTCATATATTCAAGCTACGTTATGAAGTGTTCACTTTTAGTGAAAACCTGACAGTATTAGAAAGCAATTCATGACATTATGTAACCAATTTATGATCAACCCAAGAACCTGTTCAACAAAAGACCAATAGCAGCATACCAGAGATGGGCCATTCCAGGCACAAGGGCTTACTAACTTCTGGTTGATCTATACACCATTTACTATGAAAAGTAGTACAATTCTCCTTATATTAGATAAATGTTGGTTTGTAACAAATAGTATATTATTTCCTTTGTACATTACTATATAAGTTTTTTATCTACTAAGGATGCATTATATTCACTGAATTTTAATATCAATAAAGTGTAAATGTAAGTACCAAAGTTAAAGCAAATGTGCCACCTAAATGTGCCTCGAAAATTGTCCAAATATTCCCATTGAGCTCTGCTTGCAACAAAAAACTAATAATTGTAAATAAAAAGGCAATTACATTAAGAAAGAATAGTGTTCCATGTGCATATATGACATTTATCAATCCCAACTAAATAAAAATCTTACACAGCTTAGACTAACCCAAATTTGGAGAATGGATATCCTTCATAAATACGGTTGCAAAAAAGAAAAACTATGTTGAACATCCAAAGGAGAAAGGCGAAGTACTTTGCTTGGGCAAATATCTGCAGAAACAGAAATCTAGAAATGGAATTAAAATTAAACGCATTTGCAGGCATGAATGATGATGGAACATGGAAGGATGAAAAAACAAACTAGAAAATAGATAACAATTCTTAAAAAATAAAAGAGTGGAAGGAATTGAACCTTTACTAGGAGAAAGTTTGCTGTAGCAATTAAAAAGATAAAGAGGATGCTGCGGAAACAATGGGGACGGGGTGAGCTTTAAGGTAGCAAAGCAAGAAAAGAAGAAAACAAGAGCAAAATAGAATGCTAAACTAACCTAGCTCCGTGAAGATAAGAAAGATAAATGAGAGAAAGGAAAAGCCAAAGAGTGGACATCCCTCTGGCTCTCAAACGGAACAATTTCCTGCAGATATTAGCAATCAAGGTAAAGATTCCAAAAACAAGGCTAAGGATGGGTAAGTTTGATCGGAAATTTCTCCACTGCTCATCAGAAACATCCTACATTGAATATAAATATGAAAGAAATCAATCCCAATCACGAACTGAACATTCATTCATTCAAACAAGTAGTACAAGAACTTATATAACAAGGCATACATTAAGGCGGGGAGGAGAGAAAAGCCATCCGTCACGCAAACCACGTAGTTTGGAGAAATGGTCTGTGGCAAACAAGCGATCGAATTTACAGAATATAGGACGCCAAACATATGAAAAAGGGTCGAAATGAAATTTGAGAAAGAAAGCATCAAGTACCGCGAGAAAGGAGAAGGGAGCGGCGGATACAAAAAGTGTAGAAGCCAATTGCATAAAGTACTAGAAGAAGCAGCTCAACTTTGTTTTGCTTCAGCTTTAATCTGCTCTTACTCTTACTGTTATTTTTGTTAGTATCCATCTTCCTATGCGCTCAAGAACAACAAGATCTCTGCCCTGACTTTTGATAAGCAGTAATTAAATCTCACAATCGCAGTTCTGCCTGCTTTTTTCACCCAGCGTCGTCCAAGGCTCCTAAAATTCCCTTGACCCTGCGAAAATCATGTCAGTTTGGTTCACTTGTTTAGATCTTTTGCCTTCCAAGTTCCAATTTCATTCTAAATCTGCGAAAATTAATATAAAACTACCTGCATTGCTTACGGTGGGTAAAAGTAGCTTAGAAGTCTCCTATTATACCTCAGATTGCATTTTAGTCCCTTACTGAAAAAATACCAACAAATTAATTCACGTACGTTTCAAATTAGAACAAATCGGTTTTAGATACTTCTGTATAATTTTTTTACGCCGCATCAGCACTTAACATCAAAATGGATTGATTTTTTTATCGAATGAATTATTTTACTCCTTTTAAAATGTACATGAACTAATTTATTATTTTTTAATAAAACTTTAAAATACAGTCTAAAATATAATACATTACTGCTATGATACTTTTACCACTTATGACGGTCCTAATGGGCTTCACCTTAATATCACGTAATTTTATTAATATTCATCTAATAAAATTATTTAATTTTTTATTAATAAATATTTTTGTAATCAAAATTAAATAAAAATAACTTTTTAATTAATAAATAGTGATGTAACCAACTCGAGATTAAAATTTACTTTGTTCAAAACCGTACGTCACGTTGTGTGGCAAAACCGATTACATGTTTTAAATGGTAAGTGCAGTTAATGCAAATTCCTAAGGTCATCTCCAATGCTCATCTCTATTCTAGCGCATCTCTATCTTTACTGTAAAGATGAAACAGTAATTCATCTCCAGCGCTATCTCTACATTACTACTAAATCTACTTTATTCATAATATTTAACTATTATAATATTGATTTTAAAAATATAAAATAAAACATATATATTTCTAATAAATATCAAGATAAAAAACATATATAAAACATTCATAAATAGCAATGCGAAAATATAAATAAATAAGAAAATTATATTTCATAATAATATTAGTATGTTTATTTATCTAATTTCAATGTATTTTTATCTATCTTGCAAATTAATCTACTTGAATTTAAAAAAAATCATAAAAAATATAAAAAATCAGAAAAAATACAAAAAAATACAAAAAATCAAAAAAATTACAAAACAATTAGTATATATATATATATATATATAATTTTAATGTATTCTTTATCTTGTAATTTAATTTATTTGAATTAAAAATAAAATAAAATAAAATTATAGCGCATGCTACAGTACCGCGCCAGATGTGGCGCGGACTGTAGCGTTTCGCTACTGTAGCGAGAGATGTGACGATAGGCTGGAGGGGGTTTTTTCTCCACAGTAGAGATATTCTCCAAATGTGGAGAAGCATTGGAGATGCCCTAATAGTTACTACTCCTATTTAGGAATTAAAAACTTAGAACAATGATTAAGATCATTACAACAATAACGTAAATAAAACACTATTGAAGAAATGATTCTTAAGTTACCGTCTTATTCTCTTAAGTAAAAATTTACAGAGATAGATCTAATGGATAGATAGAGACATTAATCTTTTAAAATTTTAAATTAATTTATATTTTTTATATTTTTAATTGATAATCTATCTTCGTTTCCTTAGAATTGTATAAGTTTATCATCTCCTAAAATTTTAAAAATTTTCATTTAACATAAAATCTTGTATTCATGTTTGTTCTTTACCTAACATACCGTACGTCCAATGTTTAGGTGTCCGATTATTAAATACAAATTACTAGAAGGACCGATGATCGCTTATCAAATTCAAGTTACTGTATGGGACAAGGAACCCTTACCATCATGGTATTTCAAAATTATATCCTTGTACCACCCCTAGGGATGGGCATGGACCTAAACCCAACGATTCCGACCTGACCCGACCCGGTTAAGTTTTTTAAAAATATTTCGGGTTTGAGTCGGGTCGGATTTTTTAAAGGTGATGTTCGGGACGGTCAGATTCAGGTTTAGAGTAAAAAAATATCAGACCTGATCCGAGCCAAAGAAAAATATAATTTTATCTTATATATTTATGAATAATTACAATAATATCTCTTTTATATTTTTTTCAATTAACAATGATTTTGTTGAATAAAAATAATATTTTATTATTATTTCAGGTCGGGTCGGATCGAGTTCGGATTTGATCCTAAAAATCAGGTCGGATTCGAATTATGTGGAGGGTATACATTTTCGGGTCGGGTTGGCCGAAACCCGACCCAAACCCAACCTATGCCCATCCCTAACCACCCCTGAATATAATTTACATGCTTACCCCATTCCAACATAAGATCCAATTTGTATGGATTGGATAAAATCTTTGTACCACCCTGAATATAATTTACATGCAAATAGACCAAACAACACACACACACACCCCTTAGTTTCCAAACATTTTGCATCAAGACGAAAAGCGAGATACGCGAAGGCTATTTTGTAGCCTCAAACTTGATCCTGAAGTTTCATCTCTCTAACATTTATAGCCTTACCTTGAATGCATCTTTTATGTGGAAAGAAATGCATAAAATAGGATTAAATTGATCATCTAGAAATTTTGAAGTATGACAAATTACCTTACCAAGATAACAAAAACATGAAACAACCCATTCATTAGCAAAGAATCAAAGACAGGTTAACAATAGTTCAAAAGTGTGTTGATAAATCGGGCAAAGTAAACGAAAGAACACAATAATTTTAACGAGGTTCGGCAATGTGCTTACGTCCTCGGTGCCTAGGCGGCGCTATAAAATTTGTATTCAATGATAATAGGTTTAGGTTACATCTCTATTTATAATAGAAAACTCTGGTACATAATTACAAAATTAACCCTGTACCGTACCGCGGGGGCGCAACCCCCGTACCCCCAACCCACATAATCGTAACCCCCTCTACAAGACTTTCTTTGTAAGGACAGTTGATGTTCGCTTACTCCGCTCCATCCCCTATCCTCTTTACCGGTATATTTATGAGTCATACCTTACAAATCTCCACCTTGGCGAATATCCTGCCCCTTAGGAAACATTCAATGTGGGTTGAGTTACCTTACTTCTTTAACAACTTGAAACGTTCAACAAGTCCAAGCAATGCTTGAACTTGTCTGTTGTAACTGGCTTGGTGAACATATCAGCGGCATTCTCATCAGTGTATACCTTCTGAAACAAAATCTCTCCAGATGCAACCAACTCTCTGGTCTTGTGAAAATGTACATCAATGTGCTTAGTTCTAACACGATATACCTGATTTTTAGCTAAGTGAATAGCACTTTGATTGTCGCAGAGCAACTGAACTCCACCTTGCTGAACACCCAACTCCTTCACTAAACCAGTGAGCCATAAAGATTCTTTTGCAGCTTCAGTCGCTGCCATGTACTCAGCTTCAGTTGTAGATAGTGCCACAACAGATTGAACAGTAGATTTCCAACAAATAGGTCCTCCACCAAGAGTAAAAACATACCCTGTCGTAGATCTTCTATTATCCAAGTCACCTGCATAGTCTGAATCCACATATCCTACAACCAAAGGATTATCTCGTTGAAAACCAAAAACAATTCCATGTCCCACAGTACCCTTTAAGTACCGAAAGATCCACTTGACTGATTCCCAATGTTGCTTACCAGGTTTAGACATGTACTTACAAACTTGACTAACAGCATGAGCTAAATCAGGACGAGTACATACCATTGCATACATCAAGCAGCCAACAGCATTAGAATACGGAACCTTTGCCATATCTTCAGCTTCCTTATCTGTCTTAGGGCACTGTTCTGATGAGAGCTTAAAGTGGTTCGCCAATGGAGTGCTAACTGGTTTTGCGCTGCTCATCGCAAACCTTTCTAGCATTTTTTAACATAACCCCGTTGAGATAGCCACAGTTTCCTTGAGTCTCTGTCCCGACAAATTTTCATTCCAAGAATTTTCTTTGCAGCATCTAAATCTTTCATATCAAATTCCCGACTCAATAAAGTTTTCAAACCGATAACATTATCCATGTTCTTCACAGCAATCAACATATCATCAACATACACTAATAGAAAAATAAAAGAACCATCATCAAGGCTCTTAACATAGACACAACAATCATACTCACATCGGTTGTAGTCAATCTTGATCATATAGGAGTCAAACTGTTTATACCACTATCTCGGAGACTGTTTCAACCCGTACAAAGATTTCTTCAATCTGCAAACTGAATGCTTGTTTCCAGGTTGAGTGAAACCTTCAGGTTGCCGCATGTAGATCTGCTCCTCTAAATCACCATGCAAAAAAGCAGTTTTAACATCCATATGCTCTAAATGCAAATCCCAACTGGCCACTAATGCAAGTACTGCTCGGATTGAAGTGTGTCCGACCACAGGAGAAAATATTTCATCATAATCAACTCCTTTCTGCTGTGAAAAACCCTTTGATACCAAACGAGCCTTGAATTTCTCCCCTCTTTTTCTGTTATTGCTGGTTTCTTCTTATACACCCATTTGCAACCAATCGACTTTTTACCCTCAGGAAGGGGAACCAACTCCCATGTACGATTGTGATTCAAAGACTCCATCTCCTCAACCATGGCTGCCATTCACTTGTCATTTTCCTGACTAGTAACAACATCATGAAAAGTAACCGGATCATCACTGCTAACAATAAGTGCAAAAGTGACCAAGTCTTCAAAACCCAATCTACTCGGAGGCTTTATATTCGTCCGTCTCACCCTGTCTCTGGCGAGACTATAATCCTGCAAATCATCCGTAGTGGAACCACCAGAAGTTGGTTGAGACGTTTCTGGTTTCTCAACTGGAAACTGCTCGAAATCCACCACTGTCGTGTCTTTCTTCTGTTGCAACATGGATTATTCATCAAAAACATCTCTACTGATCACAATTTTCTTCGCAACTGGATCCCAAAACTTGAATCCTTTGACACCTTTCTTGTAACCCAGAAAAATGCACTCATTCAATTTTGCATCAAGTTTGGATCTCTCATCAGCAGGTACATGCACATAAGCAGGACAACCAAAAATCCGTAAGTTATCAAAACTAACATCATGACCAGTCCATACCTCTTCTGCAACTTTCTCAGCCAATGATGCCCTTGGCGATCTGTTGATAAGATAACACGCCATGTTAACAGCCTCGGCCCAGAAGTGTTTGGGAAGCCCCGCATTCAACCGCAAACATCTGGCTCTTTCATTCAACGACCTGTTCATCCGTTCCGCAACACCATTCTGTTGTGGTTTCTTGCGCACTGTAAAATGTCTCTTAATCCCGTGCTCCTTACATAAGTGTAAGAACTGTGAATCTGTGTACTCCGTACCATTGTCAGACCGCAAACACTTGATTTTTCGTCCTGTTTGGTTTTCTACCTCTATTTTCCACAGCTTGAACTTCTCAAAAACTTCAGATTTCTTTTTCAAAAAATACACCCAAACTTTCCGTGAAAAATCATCAATAAAAGTAACATAATACCTATATCCACCCAAAGACGATGTCGTGGAAGGCCCCCATACATCAGAATGCACATAATCAAGAATCCCTTGAGTTGTGTGCTTCATAGTCTTGAAACGGACTTTAGTCTGTTTACCAAGAACACAATACTTGCAAAAATCGAGCTTACAGCTTTTGACACCATGCAACAGATTTCTTTTGTGTAATTCTGTCATACCACGTTCACTAAGATGAGCAAGACGCATATGCCACAATTTTGTAGTATCATCACAGGATTCAACAGAATGAACTCCACCTGCAACGGTACTCCCTAACAATCTATAAATATTTCCTGCAGTCATCTTTCATTTCATCACAATCAAAGCACCTTTAACAATTCGAATGATTTCCCTATCCTCATCAGCCTTAGGGATAAAACCATTATTGTGCAAAGTGCCCAAAGAAATCAAATTCTTCTTCAAATCTGGGATATGTCGAACACCACTCAACGTCCGAACAGAGCCATCATATATCTTAATTCTGACATCACCAATACCAACAATATTGCAACATCGATCATCACCCAAATAAACAGAACCAGAATTAACCGACCTGTATGTCGAAAACCATTCCCTATTTGGCGTGATGTGATAAGAACATCCAGAATCAAGAATCCACGCATCCGTTAATTGAGTCATTGAAATAGAAAGCATATCACCCTCACTGCAATCAGAATTGTCATCCTCGACCACGTTCACAAACTTGGATGAAACATCACGCTTCTCATCAGTCTGCTTTTTCAACTTCGGACAGTCTCGCTTCACATGTCCCGCCTCCTTGCACTTGTAACAGTGAATTATCTTCTTATCCCTAGATTTGGATCTGGAATTCCGCTTGCCATACCCTGCCTTCTCTGGCTTCCGTCCACGGTCTCGATTACCCTTGACATATATGCTATCGGCTTGAGAGTTTTCCCCTGCATTCTGCTTCCGCTGGTTGTGAGCCAACAAGGCTGCAGTAATCTCCTCAACGTTGATAGCCTCTTTCCCATATGTAATAGTAGTCACCATGTGTTCGTAAGAGGCAGGCAACGAACATAACAAAATCATCGCTCTGTCTTCATCCTCAATTTTTACATCAAGCCGAGCCAAATCAGAAACGATTTGATTGAAGACATTCACGTGTTGCGCCAAATCATGATCGTCCTGCATATTCAGCCCAATATTGTTATCCTATATATATATATAATATCAGAGTAGTTGGAAATGACATGTCCAAGTATCAGCTAAATGGTCATAGTAGATCTCTTCTACATCACCATTCATTTCAAGCCAATTATGGTTGTTCTTGGAGATTTGAGCAACTTTCAAGCATTTTGGGTGTCCTCAACAGCTTTTTTGAATGAAGCAGCTAGGTATTTAGCAAGACTTTGTTGAGAACTAAACTTGTTATAAGAAGCCTCTGAAACTTTTGCCTTTTTCATGGCAATGGATTTTGGAAGCCAGGAAATTGAAGTGTCTGGATTACTCAAACCATCCATTCCAGCTTCTTGTCTTCTCCATGGAATGGGTTTTAAATGCCACCAAGGATCTTTCATCATGGATTCATCAAATTAACTCTCTGGCCCTAATATCCTGTTTGATGCTGAGCTATGACCACGAAAACCTTGTCCTCGTCCGGCACTCCTTCCTAAACCAGGAATGTTGTTCCTGCTGTATCCACGACTCCCGCCTCTTCTGGACTGAAATAAGGACTACCTCTAGGTCATTGATCAAGGATCAGACCGTTATCAAACATTTGAGGACTATCTGTTCCATAATTGAAACCCGGGTTATCTTCTGCAGCAAAGCCAGGGCCGGGTAAATTACTTTAACTTGATGTATTAGAGGGATTCCGGGCCCTATGAGAAGTTCCAGGATGCCTAGGAGGATTACCAAACATTCCTCTCGGTGTTTCATCAGAAACTAAGTTATAATTATCAGATGCATGTGATCCATTCCAAGCATCAGATTGCCCCTGATGCTGAATGGACTTCTTATTCTAGGGTTGTATTGATCATGGTTGTATACACCCTGAACTGGTGAAAATTGGATTGGCATCCGATGGAGAGGCAAATCCCTATTGAAGTTCCCTGATCCTGCCGAACCATAATAAAAAGGCCAACTAATTAGAAAAACAAAAAGAATACCAACTAATGCTAATTGCAAAATTAGAGATATTCCGTGCAACTGGTTTTAATCAATAACTCATTCACAAATGATCAGCTGAGTAGTAGTACAAATCAAAGCCGACTATGTACATCCCTCTTTATGACCAATACAATAAAGAGTTCCTTTAAAAGATAAAGAGGAGAAAAATATGGTTAAATATGCAAACCATATGCAGAACTTCTGAAGTTGCCCAGCAACCTAAAAAGCAATTTAATAAATCAATATCAGAAAAAGCGAGTGTACCCGGTTGGAACGGTGCATGCATAGTTGGAGATGTAAAAGATTGTTGCACAGTCCGATTATGACTGTTTCCCATCTTCTTGTTAGCAGAAAGCTGCCATAGGGTCGGTATAATAGTCAAAACGCGGAGTTCTACCAAAGTCATCCTGCACAGTAAACGGTGTCTCGGTCAATGGATTCGAAAGGAAACCAGGCATTGCAGAAGCCTCAACGTCATTAGACACTTCAGCTTCCATGCGCATTGCTTTCAGCCTTCCCTTTCTTTTCTCAGATTCCTCCATTTATCTAGAAGAGAGAAAGTGCATGTGTTCAAACTTCTGAACAATGATATATCACCTAGCAAAAATCTAATAAACAAATTGTGTCCTTTTGCACAAGATTCCCAACCTTTTGAAAGCTGGATAAGTTTCAACCTCTAAGTTTAAATTTACTTAATTACAAATCTTAACTACCTAATAAATTAAATTATAATTTGAACCAATCTCGCCCAATTTTAAGAACGTTAAATGTCACAAATGACAATAACTCAATATCTCATGACTCAAGTAGAAATCAATGTTCAAATTAAGTGTTGATGCTTGAAAACCTATTGTCCATGCTAATTTTAAACCGTCAAACACCCTCTAAAACTCGGACTGAATCACTGTGGAGGTACCCAAATTTCGATTAAAACCCGTAATAGAATTGCCATCATGATCACGTAAAACACTACCGACTGACCTATGTTTCTATGCTCCTGTGTTTAAACAGGAGACACCAAAAGGAGGGGGCTCCCACTGGACTTCAGCAGCACTTGGTCTGGGATTTATGTGTGTAGCAGTACGTCTTGAAGAGTATATTTTCGCCCAATTGAGACTTTAGTTAAGTAAAGAATCAAAAGGGTGGTGTTCATTTGGAAGATCATGTTGTTGCGACGTTTCCATGTGTACCATATTAAAGACGCGAAAATTGTATTCCATGGTACTGAGGAACCAACATGCTACTTGATCGAAGAGGGGACAGGTTAGCCATGATCCAATCTTGTAGTTGCAGGTTTAAAATATTGATGGAGGTCCAAATAGGTTCTATCCAAGGGCAGTCACAGAGGAGATAGACAGACGTTTCCTCCGAAGAACCACATATGCTGCAAATAGAATCATAAGCAATGCCTCGTTTACATCTGTTAACATTCAAAACAATTCTGTCGTCAATGACATTATCATAATAGTCTAACAATGTATTAGTGACATTTTTTTGTTCGGTGCAAGTGCATATCAATATTAATATGATTTAGTATATCACTTTAAATTGATCACTATTTTAACTATAACTATTCAAACCCTCCACTTCCAATAATCATAGACAACCTATTCAGACATAAAAACTTTATTCATATATCTCACACTAAAATAAAATAATTTAACAAGGTTCTTTGTATAAAAAATTTCATTTAAATCCAAAATTGAAATTCAAAACTCAGAAAAATAAACGGAAAGAAACGTATATCTGCAAATTTATTAAGTTCCATAATAGGAAATAGGCATTAATTAATTTATTAAGATGACAAAGCAAAATAAATATCCTGTTGATTCTTACAATCAATTCTTAAGAAGTATTTAATTATTAATTAAAAAAACACATTTAATTCATTATATTGGTTGAATAAGTCAATTTTGGTTACCATTTCCATTAAATTAAGATTACATTAAAATATAAGATAAAATACACAAATGATCCTCTAACTATATGATGTTGTTTTATTTAGTCTCACACTATTAAAAGTTACAAAATCATTACATGCCTATAGAATGTTATTTTGTTAAATCTTTTAACTATTTAAAGTTACAAAATAATCACTCCGACTATTTATTATATTTCAAATCAATCATTTTTCATTAAAAAACAATAGTTGTCTGAATTAGACGTTAACATACTGACTAAGATATGATAGTCGTCTGAGATTACGAGATTAAATTTTATCTCAATCAACAAATTAACGTCTTTTGGAACATAATGAATAGTCAAGTTGTCATTTTGTAACTTTTAATAGTCGATGGACTCAACAAAACAACTCTCTATAATCGAATAATCATTTTATAACTTTTAATAGTTGAATGACTCAACAAAATAGTATCATATAGACAAGAGATCATTTATGTAATTTACCCTAAAATATATTTAACCACACAATCAAAAAACCAATTCATGGGCAAAGAGTCAAGGACAGGTAAAAGAACAACTGTTCAAAGGTGATTTTAAGACAAGAAATTAAGTGAAATACTAAGCATTATGGCATTTCTCAAGTAACTCCTGTTAACCTACGGAAATCAAAACATCCCATATATGGTTTCTAACTTTCTATAACTTGTCAATTCTGCACGTAACGGCATAAGATTAACCCTAGAACAGCCTGTGAACACGAAAATGGAAATACAGAGTTACTTGATTCCACAAAAAGATGACAGAGGTCCGAGACTCAGTTCAAAATGCCAAAAGTTTCGATTGTCTTCAATGAAAATAACCTCGGCATTTCGCTGATCCACATAAGCATTTATTTTTTCCATATTCCACGTTACTTTCCTTCTCATCGGAGCGCGGAATGCCGTAATCAAATGTCAGCTCTGTCATCGGAGGGATGTGCCTCTTAGCAAAAAAAGCAATATGGAGGAGAACTTCATTGTTATGTTCATACATGATTGGCTGCCAGAAAACATTTGGAGAGCAACTGTGATTCATAAACCGAGCTATATTTCCACTGTTCTTCGAACTTATGATTAGGGGAGATGGAATATCATAATCTTCGGAAGTGGCGGAACTGTCCTCTCCTACTAACTCGGCTTCATAATTCCACTTGAAGGATTCATACACTCGACTTGTATGAAAAGCATACTCATTGCTTTCGTCATTTCCCCCATCCTGCTTTGCATCAACGTTGTCAATAACTTCACCTGCATATTCACAAATAAAAGTACCAGCACGAATAGGGTCCCATGCTCGCAGACCCCAACCCCTATCTCTTGTCTTAAAAACTTCAAAGTGAACCTTAAAACCAGTCTGTGCAACTCTATTTTTGCAGTTACGAAGGCACAGGCATGAGGAACCACATTCATATATCATGGGTTTTCGACACACTAGAATCCCATAGGCAGTGTAAGGTAAATCACCTCCATTTTTTTTAAAGCAGGTGCAGTTTGAATTTCCTGCTTGGCACACATCACAACAATTGCAGCCAAAAGAAGGTTGCAATAATTTGCATGATTTTGGATATTTGATAGTAGATAAATAAGTGAAATGAGCGGGCCCCTTTTCATCGTCAACCTCATTCACAAGTGAAACAGGTATGCTTTCCGCACCGGAAGTGAGGTCAGGAAGAATAAGTCCATCCCTTGAAGACAAACCTTCCTTCCATTTCTGAATCATTTTCCAAGTTGCAAAAGCACCTTTTTGCCCGGGGATCCTTAATAGTTTATACTTGAAAATATTACAGCCCGATTTCCCCTTCTCTATCCATGACTCTTGGACTTTGTAAATCCCATCGTATACATAGACCTTAGACGCTTGGTGGGAAGAATCCTGAAAACCCCGAATGACTCTTACTTCATTGGCTCGGTGCAAGCTCCTTTCCAAAGCAAGATTGCCCCTAACAAGCTTCTGATCAGATGCTTCTTTATCACCACTGGCATTGCCACCATGACCGGTGTATACCAAAACATCAGGATCTTCGACATCATCATCATACCCTCCAGCGGAAACGATGCTCACAGCCACTCGCTCCCCCTCTAAATCACCCTTCATCGGCATGGGGTCAATCCCAGCCATGGACTGAGCATGCAACCCCACTAAGCACAACTCCAACCGGAAGAAGAAAATGTCCCCTATTTCAACACCAGGAACGACCCCGATTCTCTTTATTGCATTAGTCCGCACTCCTTTGCTCATCATTATGTTGCTAGCTTTTAAGACTGAACGCTTAATAACCCCAGAATGCGGTTCGGACGCATCCTCCATTTGGCTAAGCTTTCTCCTAAGTGCATCAAACCTCGAAAGCACATTTTCAACCAATTCCCTGTTCCCGTCATCACGCTCAGATAAACTAATTCCAGGATTGAAATCAGTAGGAGCAGTGAATGCAAACTCAAAAACTTTCCTCTTCTTCGCTTTCTTTTTAATAGAACTCAACCCAGACGTTTTCTGTTTATGCACATGTTGGCCATTAGACTCTACTGGTTCCGCTCTAAATGACCGAATTGGCACAGCAGTTGAACAGAACTCGTGTTGTTTAAGACCAGGTGTTGACTGGGATCCTTGTGGTCCGGTAAAGGGGGGAAAGGGTGAAAACCCAGACGGAAAAGGGCCATTAGGAGGTGCACAAAAGAAAGGCGGACCATTAGATGCATCAAAGAATTGGGGAACCAAAAAACGTAGCGGTTTTACATCCAAAACCCTAGATTTATCACCCAAGTCATTGTCTATACCCGTCTCTTCTTCCATTGCAAACAAAAAATCGAAGCCTTTTCAACCAAAATTTTCTCCTTGCACAAAACCCAGTGATACCCACTTCAGTTCTTTACTCCTTTAACTTGTTTACGCACAAACCGAAGCTCCAGTGAACCAAATTACATAAAATTCAGACTTTTTTTTCTTCAAAACCAGGAAATACCCACTTCATTTTTCTCCAAATTTAACTGTTTATGCACAAAAAAATGGCATACATGAAACCAAATTACACAAAAACTAAACCTTTTAGGAGAAAAATATATATATATTTTCTGAACCAATCGATACTCATTTCATTTTTCTCTACCAATGACTTTGCTATGTAGGAAAAAAACATAAATACTAGAAATAATCACAAACACAAACAGTGCAAATATGTTGCATACAATGAAAAAGAAAGAAATGATTAAACTTAAAATTAACATAAAGAAAATAGACGATTACCTGTCGAAACGAAGATGTGAAGTTTTTGTAACAGTTATTCTAGTTCGAAGAGGTTCTTTGCTTTTCCGAAGTTCTCACGCGAGATTTAAGACAATGACTTGTTTTTTTTTTGTTTTTTCTGCTCTATTTATAATATAAAGTACACATATATTAAAAGAAAACTATTTTAGGTTAAAAATATACGTATTTACAAAACTATTTCAATGGATAATTATTAATAGAGTGATAAAAATTGGGTAAAGTACATAAATAGTCCCTCAATTACAAGAAACTGTTTTGATGAGTCCTCCAACTATTAAAAATTATAAAATAATCTTTTGATTATAAGATGTTGCTTTGTTGAGTCGTTCGACTATTAAAAGTTATAAATTCATCACTCGACTATTCTTAAGTTCCAAACTCGTCATTTTTCGTTAAAAAATTGGCAAATGCCTGAACTGGACATTAACTTGTTGATTGAGATATGATAAAATCTAATCTCATAATCATTTGAGTTATATTTTATAGATTGACTCTCTAGTTACATTATACTATCGATTGTACTTAAAAAATCATACCGTCGAGCCAGTACTTAAAAGCAATGACAATGCCCATAAGTATTATTAAAATATAATTTATCATAATTTATCCAATATTTTAATGTCTAACTCAGGCAACTACCATTTTTAACGAGAAATGACGAGTTTGAAACATATGAAAAATCAGGTGATCATTATATAACTTTTAATAGTCGAATGATTCAACAAAACACCGTCTTATAGTCTATAAACAATTTTATAACTTTTAACAATTAGAAAAATCAATAAAAACACTAATTTATAGTCGGAGAATCATTTGTATACTTCACTCTAAAAATTTATATAAATTAATTAATCTTATATTAGTAGTGTGGATTCCTAGTTCACTTTTATTTTAGAATATGAAATATTTGAAAGTCTCCCGAGCATAAAATTAATAGTATAATTAAAGACATCAATTAGATTCAATGATACAAATAAAATATTGTTAAGATCTTTTATATTCAAGGAATTACATTTATATAACGTGCATATGTTATCGATAAATTAATATATTTTTAAAAAATTTGTGTTATAATTACCTAAAAAAACGAATAGTACGATTTTTAACAAATCTTTAAATATACAATAACCTATAAGACCTTAAAAATCATAAAAGTTACAAATGAAGATAATAAAATTCTATGCGTGCATAAAATTAAGGGCAAATAAAACTCGACTCGACTTAAAAAAATTAATTTTTTGACTCGATTCGAATTAACTTTGAGTTGTAATTTCATAAAGTCGACTTGACTCAAAGAAATTTCAAGTTCCAATTGAGTTATAAAATATAACTTGAATTTTTGTAGTGATTAGTGAATTGATTTTTTAAGTTTGAGTCGAGTCTCTCGACTTTGTATGATATATGTATATCACATATAAAAAAATATGAACAAATATATATGTATTGTATACGATTATGAAAAATCACATAAATTGGAATCAAATAGTATTATGATGTTATAAATATTTACAGTTAAATTTAAATAGAAACTCGGTAACTCGACTCAATTTGATTCGGCTTGAAATTTTTTTAAATGAAATTCGAGTTATAAAATAAGACTCATCAATTCAAATAACTTAAAAAATATAATGAATCTACGTTTAATGATGAAATCGGAAAAGGTTATGTAGAGACCTAGAAATTATAATGGTAAAATAAAATAAATTATGTGCATTAAATTTTAAGATTATTTTAATGCGAAAGTAAGTATATTTGATTGTTTTGTCAAACTATTTATTTTTATTTTCTTTTTTTTTCTTGTTTCGAGACCAATCAGAATCACTCTTATTCTTTAAAATTAAATTTAAAATTTATAAAAAAAATGTTTTAATATGAATAAATTGTTACAATAGGAGGAATATGAACACTTGAAGATCATACGATCGTTCAAAAAAAAAATCATACGTGATCGAGACACTAAAATTAAACTAATAAGAAAAGAATCTGAAAGTGCAAGTCTTTTTATTTTAGTTTGTTTAGATTTCAATCTTATATTAAAAAAAATTAAATTAAATTCAATTATTTAATACTATTAAAGTTTATCATTAAATCGTCGACATAAAAGTTAACATATTAATAAAGAATTATACGAAACAAACCATTCAATAATTTACGAGCAATAAATCAACAAAATTCCATGGTTATATTTACGTGTTCATTGAGATTTGAATTAATTTGTCAGCACGAATCAATTGATTTTTATGGTAAAATAATTATTGTTATTCTTTAAAGACCCGAATTCAAACACTATAAATATAAAAAATGTAAACATTCAATGTTGAAAAATTGAGAGTTATCGTACTATCTTACTCTAAATTAATAAAAATAATAATAATAACTTGTCATATTTCATAAAGCATGAAGTCGAAACTTTTAACATATTAAATTAGAGGAATTAAATTTTAATTTTCTTAAAGTAAAAGGATGAAATTAATAATTAGACCAACTTTATATATATTTTTATTTTAATTACTTTCCCATCCATCTTAAGGAATAAAATTGAAAACACAAAAAGTCGTTGCCTTTAGATCTGCCCAATACACTTCAAAAAGGGGGAAATATCCTTACAACGAACCATTCTGAGAAGGAACAATTCCGTCTCCGGTGCTCGTCCGCTTTCCAACAAGTAATCATTTGTATTATTATTGTGTTTCTCTGTAACATAATAGTTTCTCCGTTTTCTTTGGGCGGGAGATAGTAACTCTAGATCTCTTTCTTTCTATTTCATTTTGTGTTGTGTTTCTGATTATTTCTTTTATTCATGTTCAATGGTGGCGAAAGATGAAATGTCTGTATCTGGGTTTTAAAGGAAAATGATATTTTGGTTAATTTTCTATATGGTTCTTATGTAATTTGGTTTCATGTAGGCTATTAACTAAGAGTGGAGAAAAAGGAAGTGGCTTTTTGCTAGTTTTGAAGAGAAAAAGGGAATTTTTTAGTTGGAAGGCCTGATTCTTGTGTGATTTTGGTTGTGGATAAAATTGATTTTGGTTTTGAAGAGAAAAAGGAGAGAACTCGGGCTGTGAAAGGCTTGGTTTTTTGTTTGTAATGGAAGGAGGGCTGGCTGGAAACAATGCTCCGCCAAATTCATTTGATAAATCTGAAGTTCTGGATGTGAAGCCACTTCGTTCCTTGCTTCCTGTATTCCCGGGGGCAGCTAGTGGTCCGCCTTTCCCTACTGCACCTCCTAATGGTCCCTTCTGGTCTGGTTTTTCACCGTTTCCCCCATTTAGTCAACCACAAGGATCCCCATATACATCTGTCCTTAACCAAAATCCCTTTAATTCAACTGCAATGCCGATTCAATCATTTAGCACAGAACTACCGGCTTCTAATGGCGGAAATGTGCATAGCACTAATAAACGCAAATTAGCTGGGTCGAGTTCTGTTAAAAAGAAGGTGAAGAGGAGCAATGAATCGGGCTTGGCATTAGCTGCCCTTACTAATTTCAAACCTGGAATCAGTGCAGCTGAAAACGATGATGGTAATAGGGAATTGGTTGAATACGTGCTTATGAGGTTTGATGCACTTAGGAGAAAGCTTAGCCAAATGGAAGATTCAAAGGAACCACATTCTGACGTTTTTAAGGCTGCAAACTTGAAAGCGGGCAACATATTGTCTACGAAAGGGGTGCGGACTAATGGAAAGAAGCGAATCGGGGTCATTCCTGGTGTTGAAATTGGAGACATCTTTTTCTTCCGAATGGAGTCGATTTTAGTGGGAGTGCATTCTCAGTCCATGGCTGGAATTGACTTCATGCCGATGAAGGGTAGTGATATAGAGGGAGAGCGAGTGGCTGTAAGCATCGTTTCATCTGGAGGGTATGAAGATGATGCTGAAGATCCTGATGTTTTGGTATACACCGGTCAAGGTGGGAATGCCAGTGCCGATAAAGAAGCATCAGATCAGAAGCTTGTGAGGGGAAATCTTGCTTTGGAAAGGAGCTTGCACCGAGCCAATGAAGTAAGAGTCATTCGAGGTTTCAAGGATCCTACCCACCCAACATCTAAGGTGTATGTATACGATGGTCTTTTCAAGGTCCAAGAGTCATGGATAGAGAAGGGTAAATCTGGTTGTAATGTGTTCAAGTATAAATTAGTAAGGATCCCTGGACAGACTGGTGCTTTTTCCACATGGAAATCTATCCAGAAGTGGAGAGCAGATCCGTCTTCAAGGGATGGACTTATTCTTCTTGACCTCACCTCAGGTGCGGAAAGCACCCCGGTTTCACTTGTCAACGAGGTTGATGACGAAAAGGGGCCTGCTTATTTCACATATGTCTCTACTGTTAAATATCCTAAACCATTCAAATTACTGCAACCTTCTCTCGGATGTAACTGCAGTGATGCATGCCAACAGGGAAATCCAAACTGTTCCTGCAATCAAAAGAACAGTGATTTCCCTTACATTGCCAATGGGATTCTAGTGTGTCGAAAACCCATGATTTATGAATGTGGTTCCTCGTGCCCATGCTTTCGTAACTGCAAAAACAGAGTTTCACAGACTGGTTTTAAAGTTCGTTTTGAAGTTTTCAAGACAAGAGATAGGGGTTGGGGTCTGCGGTCTTGGGACCCTATTCGTGCAGGTACATTTCTTTGTGTATACGCAGGTGAAGTTATTGAAAATGGGCAGGATGGTGAGAACAATGATTATGTTTTTGATACAAATCGAGTGTATGAATCCTTCAGGTGGAATCACGAAACCGAGTCAGCAGGAGAGGGAAATTCTAACACTAGTGAAGCTTTCAATATTCAGTTTCCTCTAATCATAAGTTCAAAGAGCATTGGAAACATTGCTCGATTCATGAATCATAGTTGCTCTCCAAATGTTTTCTGGCAGCCGATCACATATGAACAAAATCAAGAAGCTTTTCTCAATATTGCTTTCTTCACTAAGAAACACATTCCTCCGATGACAGAGCTGACATATGATTACGGTACTCCACCCCTCACAGATGAAACTGGAAGTAACAGTGCCAATCATGGAAAAAAGAAGTGCTTATGCGGATCACCAACATGCCGAGGTTATTTTTATTGAGACCTGGACTGAAAACCTGTATTCTGTACACTAGGAAAACTTTTGGCCTTCTTGAACAAGGTCTGGGATGTGGCTCATCTTTGTCTAATCATGTAATAATTTTTTATGCGTTTCATGTTTAGTCTTTGTAGCTTATGCTGTTACAAGCACAACTGACAACGAATGTGAACACAGGATGATGATTTGTTGTTGTTGTCTGTTTTGGTAGGAAGTTAGTTTTTGGTTTAGTTGCTCGAGATATACCAGAATGCTTGGAAATTCACTGTGCTTTTCCTGTTCGAGGATAGCATTTGAACTTATTGTTAATTTTCCTCTCTTTGACTGATTGCTTGTGTGAATTGGTTGTCGTTTCAAGTTGCTGTTCTCTTGGTAAAATTAATTCTAGATGACAAGTATGATCTTCAATCTGCATTTCATGCATTAGAGTCGTCAGTTAAGTCTTCATTCGGTGGATATTGTTCCAACAACTAAAAGTTTGTTGGAGTTTGCGGAAGGTTATCGATAGCTTATGCGCTGTATTGTATAATTTTATCTTTCCGAAACTGATTTATTATTCATCTAAATGATAAAGTTGAGATTAGGGATTTAAACAGCTATCGGAGTAGCGGTCATTAATGGCATCATCCAAAATTAGTTTGATATTTTACGATCGTGATACCGAAATAACCAATGTTATGTCCGTATTGAAAGAATGATTACAACTGTAATTTAAATCTCCGGTTGAGACCTCAATGAGACTTTTAAGAAATGAAAGATAAAGAATGTAATTTTAACATTTCTCTTGTTTGGTTTAAAAGGTGGAAAGAAAAGGAAATGATATGTTATCTATAATTATATAATTTTAACGTTAGATATGGTATTTAAACATGTGGTTTACTTTAAAAATTATTAAAAAAAAAAGTTGAAAGGGTTAAAGTCGATTTTTTATTATTATTTTGGAATGGAAACGATGCAAACAAATAGTAAAAAAACACTAAAATACCAGTAGACATTATAATACTGTAGAGCATGCGCCTCCTCTGATGCATTCCTCTTCTCCAATGACAGCATATGTGCTATAGACGCAGGCGGCTGTTGTAACAAATGAAAACCAAATTCCAGGCGCCACAAGCTGTTAACCCCGTATTAGTCCGTCATGCACCATCCGTATTCAGTGTATATGTGCCTTCGTACTCGTTCTTCGATTGTTAAGATTGACCCTCTGCAAGTAAGCCAAAGTAAAAAAAAAAAAAAATTATATCAAGTAAAAGGATAATTAAATAAATTAAGTAAATATTTTTATATTCTTATACCTTTTAAATTAAATTTATGTTTGTCATGTTGAAATTACTACAATCGATATAAAAAATTTAAGGAAAAATCTAAAAAAATTAAACTAAATTCATGAATAATCCAAATACTACAAATATTAAGTTTTTTTCTTAAATTTTGTATATCGGTTATAATAATCTCAATACCTACTTTACAAACATAAATTTAATTAAAAAATATAAATTTAGAAAACAAGAATAATCGATTTAAGTAATTTATTTTTCTAATGATACGAGAAATCATGGATTCATGGTGACATGTTTCATTTACAAAATTTACCCTCGGTGACCAAAATAAAACATAATATAACTTTAATGACTGTTTTATAATTTTTTAAATTTGAATAATCAAAATGAAACTATTTGATAGTTGAGTGATTAACTATATAGTTTACTCCAAATTTATAACTTTTAAATGAAACTATGTAGTTTACTCCAAATATATAAATATGATTACCTGCTGGAAAGCTGACGAGCGACGGAGACGGAATTGTTCCTTGCAAGAATTTTCCTTATGCTTGACTCGCTGGTTTTCCCCGAATTCTCGTGCTTTTTTTTCATATAATTCGTTTTTTGAAAAATAATTTTCAGTGTTTGTTTCACGTAATTCGTTTTTTGAAAAATATTTTCCCGTGTTTATTTCATGTAATTGGTTTTCCGGAACATAATTCATTTTCCTAATAATAGAATTTCTTTTGTGTTTTATGTAAAATGACTTACATATTCATTTTCCGTAACTCATTTTTTGAACTTTTTACTTAAAAGAATAAATACTTAAAATAATTTTATTTTATGAATTTAATATTAATAAAATATTTTAATATTATTTTCATTAAAATATTATTATTTATTTATTTATTTATTAATAATTATAATAATATAATATTATATTTTAAATATTATATAAAATAATCAATTATATTATAATAATATAAGATATTATATTTTTATTTTAATAATATATAATAAAATTTTTATATATTTAATAATGAATAATATTATTTATATATTTAAATAATATTTTAATAAAAATATTTAAAATATACTAATTAATATTTTTAAAATATAATATAACACTATTACTTTAATAAATAATTAATATAATTTATAATATTTTATTTCACTAAAATATACAAAATTTATTATTTTTATTAATAAAATTATAAAAAATATATTTAATAATAAATAAATTATTTTAATATTTTAAAATAATAATATTAAGTTTTATGATAAATAATATTATTTATTATATTTAATATTTATATAATAAATAATTTTTAAAAACTCTTCAACTATTGAAAAAAAGTTTAAATAACATCTTTCAAACGTCATAAAACGTTTTCAAAATGCTTTTCAAAAAATATAATTCATTTTTCAGAATTCAAATTCCTATAATTCATTTTTCAGTTTCAGTAATTTAAATTTCAATAATTCATTTTAAAAAAAATCAATTACAGCCAAACAAAGACCCTAAAATACAAAAATTGAGCTAACCCCACTAGTTGAAATACTCGGAGATCAACTTGACTAGGAAGTGAAGTTGGTGCACAATCCCAAAATCAAGCTCCAGTAGCTAGAGACGATGGATCCAGATCGCTTATCTTATCTAAGCATCTTTTTTTTTTTACATATCATCATACATGTATCAAAATGAAGTATATTAAAATAACAATCATGTAAACACAATTTAACCAGATACTAAACCATATATTTCACCCTAAATCATTTTTTCGAAGCAAACGAACAAGAAATATCTGAATAAGAATATTCACCATCGGCATCATCTTCATCTTTGTCATCATCCTCGACATCGTCATCTTCGTCGCCGTCATCTTCAACTACAGGTTGTTCGGACTGTGAACACCAAAATAAAGAAATAAATAAAAAGAAAACGATAAAAAACGAGAGGAAGAAATCAAAATGAGAAGGGATAGAAAAAAAAGAAAAAGTTACATGGATTTTTTGTTGTTCGAGATTAGCGGCGAGGATCTCTCTGTCGGTCTAAGCAGCCATTTTTTTGTTGAGAGACAGAAGCAGAAGAAACAAGCTAAAAATATGTATAGCTATAAAAAGAAAAATAAAACCTAAAACCCCAAACTTCTCAAATCGAATAGGGTCTGACAGGCCTTATAATACTACAAAATTCACACATGATGTCTTTATAATATATCACGTGATATTTTTTTAATAATATACAATTCACATTAATATTTCTATAAATATCTGTAAAACACATTTATTTTAGAAAAATAAGACAAAATATGTAAATATTCATACTATTAGTTATTTTTTATGAACATGTATTGAGTGTAATTATAAATTATATTATAAAATATTAACTTTTAAATAATTATAAATTCAAAATCATTGATTTATAAAGTATTAAATTTTTATTTATAATTATTTTTTAAATATTCTTAAATAACTAATTTATTATTATTAATATAATAACCGGATAGTAATGAAAATGTTAGTATTGCTTTTGAAAAATGTAATTTAAAATTTAATTATCTGTGATTGCTGTTAAAAATAATTTTAAAAAGATAAAATGTTTATTTTAAGTATTATATTGTAAATTGAAAATATAATATTTTAAAATAAAAATATAATTTTATCTGGAAATGATATTCCACGATAAAAACTAGAAATTTAACTTTACGATGTTAGATTAAAAATCATTTTTCTAATTATAATTTTAAATTAATTTTTAAATGTTTAACATCGACGATAGGGTATGAAGTCATTTTTCATTTCTAAAAGCATTACGAAGCGGCTCAAATCACATTTCTATCTTTAATGGAGCTAATATAATCTCTTTTGTGTTTTTGTCATTAGTGAGCCTTTTCAATTCCTTAAGGGGCGTTTGAATGGGGAATGTAGGATTTTCATGAAAATAGAATTCACATTTACTTGTTTGGTTAATTTGATAATCTTATTCTCGAAAATTTAAGATTACTAATAGTTAATTTTTTGGGGTATATTACCGAAAATGTCATTATCTCCATTTCTTTTGATATTGTTGGATTACCGGCGTTTTGGAATAAAATACCCTTAATTTTTGTTTTAAAAAATATCATTCTTTTGTCATTGAATAATAAAAATTCTACGAAGGTTAAATTACAAATTTATCCTTAAACTATTTTAGATTTAAAAAAAATATATAATTAAAATTTTATATGAAGTTCAGAGTTAAAATAAAAGTAAACCCTTTCATTAAACCTTTTTATATTTTCAATTTTGTAAAAAAAAGTATATAAATTTTATGAATTTATTTTTTTAAAGAAAATATATAAATATTTTCAACTTGTTAAAAAAATAAATATATAATAAGGATAATTTGGTCAAATATACATTCAAGTAATCTTTTATTCCTTTAACCAAACACAGTAATCTTACATTCCTCCTAAACCAACCAAACACAAAATACAACATTCCCAGTAATCTTACATTCCTTGATAATCTTACATTCCTACTGGTAATCTTACATTCCTTGGTAATCTTACATTCTCACTGGTAATCTTACATTCCGTGAACCAAACACATTAAGGTGGCGTTTGGTTCGCTGGAATGTTTATGAGGTAATTGGAATATGTGAAGGAATTGGAATCTGTCAGGAATTTAAATCCAATTTCATATTCTGTTTGGTTGGCAGAAAATGGAATTGAAATCCAATTCCATATTCTGTCTGGTTCGCAGACATATCAGATGAATTTGATTTCAGTAATGTAAAATGACAGAATTGTCATTTTTGTTTTTTTGCTTTATTTTAGTTTGTTTTACGACTTACATGTAGTAATATATTATAAAAAAATTAAAAAATATTAAATTTTCATTTTATTGATTGATTATTAATTTCAATAAATTGTAAAAATCATGATAATAAACATCATAAGTTAAAATCATCGCAATCAAAATATATTAATAAGTTACCAAAAGATAGAGTAATATTTCGATACATTTCAATTGGATTATGTTAATTAGTTACCAAAAAATATACCAAAAACTATTTTTATTCAATATATGAATTAGAAACCCGACCCGACACGACACAAAATAATAAAAAAATTATTTTTATTCAATAAAAACATTGACTTATATATAGAGGGGTATTATTGTAATTATTCCTAAATATATAAGGTAAAATTATATATTTTTCGGGTCGGTCCGGTTTTTTCACCCTAAACCCGAACCCGACCTGAATATCACACTTAAAAAAACATGGCCCGAATAACTTAAAAAACCCGACCCGACCCGAACAAAATAAAGTTTCACCCGACCTGAAATAATAAAAAAATATTTTGATTCAATAAAAACAGTGACTTAATTGAATATATATATATATATATAGGGGTATTATTGTAATTATTCTTAAATATATAAGGTAAAATTATATATATTTTTCAGGTCGGGTATTTTTCACCCTAAAACCGAACCGACCTGAATATCACACTTAAAAAAACCGGCCCGACCTGACCAAAATAAAGTTTCACCCGACCCGAAATAATAAAAAAATATTTTTATTCAATATATGAATAAGTTACCAAAAGATTAATGAGGGTAGTATGGTTAAATTTTAATTCCCTCCATCAAGAGCCTCATTTGATAGAAAGTTGAAGCCATGCTGAATTCTAATTCCCTTGAAAAATTTGAATCAAATATGGGAAAGTCCTAAATTCCAAGAGATTCTATCCAACCAAACCACATTCCTTTAATACCCATATTTGACAAATGAATAAAAGCCCAAATACAATGAGAAAATTCTTCCCCAATTGGAGAAGCTCCATCTCATTTAGGGCTGGAAATCTGTGATGGACTGACCCAATTTTGACTAGGTTTTACAAGTTTTCTTTTTGAAAACTACAAAATGAATTTGCTTTCATTTCCCGCTTTCTCCATCAATTTTTTTGTTCGTTCAAAAAGAATTGTCGGTTTCCACCACATACGAAGAAATAAAGAAAGGGATCGATTATTCTGCTGTCTCTCCCCTCTCTCCAGGCTCTGAGCTCTTAAGCTTTCAGTCAACTTTCAAAGAGAGCTGAAGAAGATGTGTAGGCTTTGATAAAAAAAATGGATACGCCAGATAAAACCCATATCACCCCCACTTCTAATCTTTCCAAATTTGAGGTACCTTTTTTTTTCTCTTTTTTTTTGTTGTAAAAAAGGGTTTTTTTTCTTTTTCTTTTTTAGACTCAGAAATGAAGTTAATACTCTTTGTTTTATGTGAAAAGTTCAATAATTATATGTTAACCGAGATTCTTATGTTAAGGTTTATTTTTTGTGTTTTTATTACAAGTTAAATTTGTATGCTGTTTTCATTTTCCGTGTAAATTTCTGATATGTAGTTTGAACTTAGGTTGGCGTTTTTGCTTCCATTCTTGTTATTGCCCTTTACTTTGAGTTTTAGGACAGTTTTCTGTTATAACTCTTGGCCTTTAGGTTGTTGAAATGGTGGCCGGGGTGGGGGTTAGACCACAAAATCCATGAAGGGAAGGTGGGATTTCTACAAATTTAACCAAACGTATGCTGTAAAATGTTAGGGAAATTACTTGGTCTCAACCATTTATAGTTTTGGCGTCAACCTGGAACTTATTCAGAGCCATCTCAATAGTCAATACCCATGGATGATTGATATTTTTCAATGGACTAATTTTATGCAAAGGAATTACAAGTGATTTGCCCTTGAAAAGGTTGGGGATGCTGGTATTTAGTTGCATGGAATGGTATGGAAAGGATATGTTCTTTCTAGTTTGGTTTTGATAGCTTGTTTTATAGTATGTTATTTTGACTCTTCATGTTTCTTGAAATTCCCATGTATGATGCATATTTAGATTAGACATAGATACAAGAATATGATCCTCCAGTACGTGAGGGAACTTAAAAATATTTATCGTACGTGATGGATACATACCTATATCTTGACACTCACACTCAAGTTCAAGTAACATTTTAGGTTACTAAGGATTTGTGTGCTAAATTTTTAAACTTTTATTTCTCTCTTTGCAGGATTCACCTGTCTTTAAATACATTGACAGTCTTTCACCTATTGAGCTAGCTAAGTCCAAGCAAACAGATAATGTTTTCAGTTCACTAGCATTTTTGTCCCCTTCATCTTTATTTCCTTCCCCACAAATTAGTTTCCTTAGGGAATCCAGGTTTTCAGTTAAAAGGTAAAACTAATCATTTCTCTTGTAAGTTCTTGATTTCAAGTGTTCTAAATGCTAATTGAGGTTTGTTCCAGGCATAATTTCTTGTCACCTTCAACCTCTAAAACCCCCCAGAGTGGTAATGAATCTAATGCTAGTGAGGGAGCTTCAAAAGCTGATGAACAATCTGACTTGTATGATGAACATTTGGGATGTCTCAAGAATGATTGTTCATCCAAAGGAACTAGCAGTAATCTAGTTACTGACCTATCAGATTTAGCAACAGAGTTTCCAAGAACCTTGAAGTATGATTGCAGTAGTCCTGATGGTAACTTTGAGCTTCGTGATGAGATACTGAGAAACAAAAGTTTGGAAGTAGCAGGAGAAGAGAGATCTCCTTTCCAACGCATTAGGGATGGATGGGAAATGAGGCAGCTCCATGAAAGAGATTTGCGCAAAATATGCAGAGTTAAGCAGATTGAAGAATCAGCAGGATGCAGCGGGGTAGCAGCTCTTTCTGGTGTTGCTGATATGTTGACAATGAATTCATCTATCATTCATGAAAATACTGATGGCCAGGATCAGAGAACAGCAGACTCAGGGACAACCTCTTTTATATCAACTATCATGCAGTTTCCACTAGATAATGCCAATAATTTAAGAAATGCAGAATCTGGTGATCCTAGTGGTTCTTGCAAACAAAATGAATCAGGAGATCCAGTAACAGACCCAACACAAAGCATCCTTTCTACTTGTCTACTGGACAAACTAGTAGTCAGTGATTCAGGTTTGAAAAAGGATGGTAAGGATGAGAACTGCAATCAGTCCGGCAATCAGGTTAACTAAAAAAACCTGTAATTTTTCTCATGCAAGTTCCTAATTGTTGTATCTTGTATGTTTGTTAAAGATGTTTTCTATTAGAGTGTATCATCTCAAATGTTTACTCTATTTGTCCTTCTCAGTGCATTGGCACTTTTCTATAATTGTACATTATATTATTTTATCAGCAGGTTAATATTCGAAGGCGCTGTCTGGTGTTTGAGAAATCACCTGGTTTCGGTTTGCACTTGAATTCTCTTCCCAACATCACGAAAGGTTGGATTTCTTTAGTGGGAGACTCTAGCTTCTTAGAAGCAATTGAAATGCATGTTGGGGTCCTTGACATTTTTTTACTTATCTTACTGCAGGTCAGAGTCCTCTTAGTAAATCAACTCTAAGCTCTATGGACAGGGGTGAGGTTCCCGATGACACAGGAAATTCTTCTGAGACACCTGCTACCTTTGGTGCCAATGAGTCTGATCATAACAGTCCTGAAAAGAAGAGGTATGCATGCTACTTCCTATATTTGCATGAAAATTACCTGGATATGTAAATTGATTTGAGTTTAATCCGGTGCAGGCAAAAGTTCAAACTTGTCGAGGAGCGTGCTGTATGCAAGCGATGTAACTGTAAGAGATCAAAATGCTTAAAGCTGTAAGTCTGTTATATTTATTTAAACCTATATTTAGGGTCAGAGTGCATATTCTTCTAGTGTTCCTCCAAGTCTATTTTGGGTTAATTTCTCCTTTTCTGAGAATTAAAACTGAGTTGAACCAACAACTTGTAACCTCATTGATGGTGCTAAAGATCTGTGAAACTTGGTTCTTACAAGCCTCTAGCTGCATACATTTAAGGTAATTGTTTGGGTTTGTAGTATCACTGATTATAAGTGCTGGGTTTGCTGCTCATGTATTGCTTTTTTGGTTGTTTGCATATATGTTGTTCATTTTCTGGAAGTATCAATGTTTGACATTTGTGACACATTTTTGGACATGGGTATGGGAAAGATGATCCTCTAAGGTCACTCTAAATACATAGAAAAATCCAAAAAAAATAAAATTAAACATACCTGTGTCAGACACTTATATTCAACACTCACACCTGAGTCCAAGTAAGAAAGGTTTACACCTAAATGAAGATTCAAGATTCTCAAAACATATAACCAAGGGCTATAACTGATTGATAAGGACTACATGACATTTTGGGTTCATAATTAAAGCTAAATAAGCAATAATTTTGGAAAACACAACTCATTTTTTACCTTATTAATTGGGGACCTCATTCTGTTGCACATGAGTTGAATGATAGAAGTGTTTCATGTTGCTTATGATTTCTAGAATTACTTAATGAAACAATTTCCAATAGCCTATTAAAATGAACTTGAAATGTGATTTGATGATAATGTTTTACCATGTTTTGATTATTTAGATATTTATGTTTGTAATGCAGTTATTGTGACTGCTTTGCTGCTGGTCTATACTGTATTGAGCCTTGTGCATGTCAAGATTGCTTCAATAAGCCAATTCACGAAAATGTGGTTTTAGAGACTCGCAGACAGATTGAATCTCGCAATCCACTAGCATTTACCCCCAAAGTGATTAGAAGCACAGATGGTGTTTTGGATTCCTTGGTTAGATACTATCTTTACGATTATGCTTCTTGATATTGAAGTCTATGCTGTTCAGACTTTTCATTTTTCTTAAAATACTTGTATCTGACATGTTTTCAGACAATGGTACGGTTATAACTCCCCAAGAATCCTTCAGGGAAAAAGCTTTAACATAATGATCTTTTTCTTGGTATATTGAATAAGGTGACTTGAGAAAAGGGAGATGAACCTTGCATGTTCCTTTGGAAGATTAATAACTATGATACTTGATTTATTTCTCGATCGTGTCTAATGCATATCCTGACATGAGTATTGATATATTTCTCATCACATATTTTGGTGTCCAACTTTTCTTGGTACATTGAATAAATCCACATGAGAAAGAGGAGACGAGCCTAGGATAATGACACTCCTTTGGAGGGTTAACAACAGTATTGCTCCAACTTTTTTTTTTTTAAGTACTTGTGTTTGATGAATAGCCAGACATGGTTATGGGAATATGTTCCTCCATGGCTGTCCAAGTATATGAAAATCTTGAAAAAACTGAAACTATGAGAAAAGTGGGATTAGATGATGATTTTGCCAACTTTAAATTAAATAGTCTCTTCTTTTGGCGAATATAGTTTAATTACATAGAAATGGTGGTTGCTCATGCAGGATGAAATTAACAAAACTCCAGCTTCAGCCAGGCATAAAAGAGGATGCAACTGTAAAAGATCAAGTTGCTTAAAGAAATACTGTGAATGTTTTCAGGTTTGTATGTTTAGAGCATTCTGCATAATTTGTCTTCTTCACTAATCTGATATGGTTTCTTTCTTTTTTGAATTAAAGGCTGGTGTTGGATGCTCCCTCGGCTGTAGATGTGAAGGTTGTAAAAATAGTTTTGGTTGGAAGGATGGTGAGTGCATACATAAAAACTTGCAATTTTTGTATCTATATTGTAAACATATTTTTATGTGTTACAATCTTATTCATGATGTTATATATTTATATAAGTTTTGACAATTACTAGTGTGTACGATATAGATTTTGATACATCCGTGCTATGTTATTTGGATTTGAGTGTAAGTGTCAGATATGAATTCTTCATAAAAATGAATGGTCAAGCTAAAATAATATTCTTGTTTTATGTTGTATTTTTTTTTCATTTATTAATGTTTTATCTTTTTCCTCACTAGGAGGTTATGAATCTGAATACAACGGGGACAATTTAGAGGCCCGTGATAGAAATGCATCAGATAAAAAGTCAGACATAGTAATCAGTAAAGGTCAAGAGCATCCAAATCTTTCAGTGCTTTCCCCTGATATTTCCAGGTATTATTATTTTGAACATATTTCAGACATGGGTATAAGCACATTCTTCTAAATATATAGAACTTTAAATAATCTATCATATATTCATATGACGCGTTATCAAATTGGAGTAACATAGGCATTTCCTTATATTTTGCAGGTTGCCATTTGCCCATAGAGGGAAGCTTGCAGCATTTTTTCCCCATTCCGTTAAATCATCTCTTCAGTTATGCTTTACTCAAGAACATGGTTCATCAGACTCTTTGTCATGTCAATCCAGGCTTGATTCAAATCTTCATGGAATTCCAGAAAATGAAACTCCTTAGATTCCCAAACATAAAGGCTTAACTCTTGTCTCAAAACCAACATCCCCCAAATGCAAAAGGGTTTCTTCAACTCCAAATCATCCTTGCATTTCATCCACTGCATGGCGTAGTAGGAAGTTGATTCTAAGATCCGTCCCTTCTTTTCCATCACTTGCTCCACCATGAAAGCTCTCGTATATTCGTTTTCTTCCTCATGCCGAGTTTCCAGTTTTCTCCAGTAATGTAGTGGCAGTTCATTTATTTATTTATTTATATCATGTTTCTGCATATTTTAGTGTCAGTCATATTTTAAGTAATTTGATTTTTCAATGAATTTTGATTTGTTAATAACTTTTTGTGTAAAAAAATTTAGATAACTGTGTATTTGTATTATGTTGGTGTGTAGTCAAGAATCTCTTAGTGAAGTTATTGGAGTTCATGATTTCTACTACTATATGTTTGTCTAAATTTTATTCTTAAAACTGATTAAACAGGTTTTACTGGCATTTTTTTATTTTGCAACGTTAGGAGGCTTAGGTGGATCATCATTCATTGAATTGAAAATTTAGGCAATGTTTATCATTTTGGATAAATTATTGTAACAAGAGATGTGATAAAATAAAATCAAACTCGGTTCAAATGATAAGTTCAAATTCCAAGTATTTTTATTCATTCAATTGCCTTTGAGCCTTTACTATTTGGCTCAACATTTCGAGGTATTTGTTAATTGATGGAGTTTGACAAACCCAATTCTCGATTCTCATTTACAATGAATATCGTCCGTGAAGGGAGTTGTTACATATTATTATCATTCGTTTGTTCGGATGAAGCTGTTCTCTTGCCTTTAGCTTTGAAGCTCGATGCAGGTCGTTGCTTCGGTTCACTTTGTGACCGGACTTTGGCCCTTGAAGATTGTGTGTTAGCCATGTACTTAGGCATCCATGGATATTCATAGGAACTGAAAGAGGATCTTCCTGGTGTTGTAGGCTTGGACTTTAATGGAGGACAATGTCTGGGACTATTTGGTGTTGTGAAGGAAAACTCTTCATAGTTTTGTTTTTTCTTTGAGGCTGAAATCTCATCAAAGAAACATCTGGTGATTCCTTGCTCGATCCTCTCGGTTTTTGAGCGATTTGTAAAACCATTTTTGCTCTTGAAGGCTCCATTTTTTTCATCCTATTTAAGTTCAGATTAAAACATAACAGTGAATTAGTTGTTGAATTTTGGATTCACAGTAGCTTCTTACTTGTTTTCCTTGTGAGGCAGTAGGTGTTGGCTGATTAGAAAATGGTGGAAATAGAAAGAAAATCAAAACAGTTATCTAATACCGTAGGGTATTGATCTTAATGCAGTCATGGAAGGAAAACTATAATATGAAGGAAGGTTTACTTTCTGTTCTCTTTTAAATCCCATCTCCAGGGGAAGCCTTCCGTGTGTCGATAATTGGCTTTTCGGAGTGAGTTGTGGCTTTGAAGCCATCCGGATTCTCTGAACCCGGGCTTGGAGCTGTATCGACATTAGAGCATGCATACATCGGAGAGTTGCAGTTGTTTGTTTTCTCACCAGGTGACCTCTAACCAGTGCTTGCAGCTTAACTAGTCCCTTCAAAGCATGCAATGCTCTCCTTGCCTGCAATGATACAAAACCAAGGCATTGCAACATTAAAGTCTAGGACTCAAGTCATCAATGGTTATAACAAAACCCAGGATCCGTAATTTAGTACCAAATACGCTCGAAAGGAGGCTTGAATCCGTCTTGCGGCATCATCTTTTATTGCTCTGCTCGTTAAAGAAGTTTCATACGCTGCCATTGACAGAACTCTGGTGTTGTCATGTTGGTTCTCCAAGTCCAATGCAGCTTGATTCACAATTGAACTAGCAGTCATCGTATTGAAAGACCTCGAACTCTTACAAACTCGAACATCACTTGCCGACTTCCCGAAACTCCATATGCGCCTAAGAGGACTCGGAGGTGGGTTTGCCATCGAACTTCCATGATCTTCAAAAGATACGGAAACGTTCTTCCTTTTTCCTTCATTATCTTTTCTCCCTATCAAGAAGTTCCTCAGCCATTTGCTTGCTTTTCCCATATCAATCACAGTTGTAAAGATCCAATTTTTTTCCTTTGGATTACTGTGCAATTTATATCATTTTATGCAATGACTTGGTAATGTTGTTTGACTGGGGTTTTAAATTCATGTCCGTTGGTATGGTTTTTTCTATGCTATTAAATTTATATTTTCCCAATTCCATTGTTTTAAATTGGTCAAAGCCTGCAACAATCTGATTAGCCGTGCCATCACTTGATGGTGCTTTCTTAACTGCAGATATTGGTTGAAGTGCAATTTTCCACTGTTGTTGTGCAGCAGATTTCTCGAGTCAACTCGTTGAAAACCCTTTCTTCTGAGCCATCGTGAATGTCATGCCTTAATGGCAAAAACTATCGCTCAGGTGAGGAATTCAAACAACTTTTCCAGTCTTGTACTTATGTTTGTTTACTTCATGGAAGATAATTATTCAATTTCATTAAGTTTGATTAAGCAAGTTTCTTGCTGCAGGCACTCTTGATTACTCTTCTCAGCCGGCTTCTCCTCCGGTACCTCGATGAGAAGTTCCTTGCAATTCGTCTTTCTTTGATCATAAATCACTCTACATACGTCAACTCGAAATTAAAAAAATATGCCGAAAAAACATAGCCATAGTTTACAGCTTGCTATTGGACTTACTGTGGAGAAGGAACCTGAAACAGAACAGATACATACAAGCATGTATGCGAATGCAGACCTGGGTTTTCAAATCTTCTTAACAGATCATATTTCCCTTGTTACAGTCAATGTAAGAACTTGAACTCGAATTCGAAATTCCAGTAATTAAATTTTTAGAAGTTTGGAGAATGACGACAAACACAAACTGATGAGGGTCATGGTTTTCTTGATTTTCTAGGGTACACTCGGATCTGATTGCTCCCTCCTCGGGATTACAGTTTTTTTAATGGTACAAAACCTCATAAAGATCTATGCCAGACATTTTCCAATAAATGAAACAAACATTTCAAGAACATGCCTTATCCCTAACTGTTTCCGCTGAAACCCCAACATCTTTAGCTGGTGTGTCTGCAAATTTCCATGAAGCTTTCCTCATGCTATCGTAGTTTCGGTCACCTGCGACCTCTTCAATTGGGACTGCATCAGCAATTTCTCTCAAGTCGTCAGCAGTGAGTCTCACTCTCAAGGAGCCAATATTCAGATCCAAGTTCTTAATCTTTGTTGTTCCTATGAAAATAGGAAGCAAATGTAAAGTAAGACTAATGTTCGATGCATATTTAGATATGAGTGCGATAAAGAGAGTCTCTCACCAGGAATCGGTACAACATCATCCCCCTGATGGAGAATCCACGCTAATGCTAGTTGAGCCGGAGTGCATCGGTGCTTCTTCACCAGATCTTCAATTCGAGCATAAATGTTCTTGTTCTTGTCGAGATTTTCTCCTTGAAACCGGGTATGTGAAGCCTTATAATAAAAAAAAGTAGTCTGTCATTAGCAGAACAAACAATTTGGCATGTTTAAGAAATGGAAATGAACGGAGATCAAAATATTAATACCAAGAAAGTTCCAGCAGGTAAACTCTCCACTACTGCCCTACCACCGAAGAATCCGCGACCGAGGGGACTATAAGGAACTATTGCAATACCGAGATCCCCGAAAGATAAATCCATCAAACACCGGCCTATATCTATAAGTTAACAGGAATGAGAGTTAAGCAAACCTGCAAAGAGGGACAATCTCATCCTCGATCTCACGAGTCCAAGGCGACCACTCCATTTGGACAGCTGTGATGGGATGAACTGCATGCGCCCTCCGTATCGTATCAGGACTGGATTCAGATAATCCAATGTACTTGATCTTTCATTCTTCAACCAGTTTCTTAAGTTCACCCATCTGCATTGTTCAAGAAAAAAAGGTGGGTTTTATACGCTCCACCAGCAAATGTGGAAGAGAATAAATCAAATTCTTAACTGCATTGCATAGCGTAAGGATAAAGAGATTTACTCACGGTTTCTTCTATAGGTACCGAAGTGTCCACCCGGTGCTGATAATAGAGATCTATGTAATCAACATCGAGACGCTTCAAACTCGCCTCACAGCACGACCGTACGTACTCGGGACTACCTTTCACAATCATACCAGTAGATGCCATCCCCGCAATACCAAACTTAGTCGCCAGTTGAATTTTCTCCCTTGGTAATTGTTTTAAGGCCTGAAAGTTAAAAAAACTTCTCTTTAGTTCACATTATGTAAACTAAATATTCTTGATTAATGTTATATCACATGTTATTAAGAAGAAGAAACAGAACATGCCAAATGCAAACCGTTCTACGCTACTTCAACTCGTGTGTGTGTGTGTTGGAAATGGCTATGTTTCTACTACGGATTTTTTTGGAGGATCCAAAGCATCACATCCGAATTTGTCTGGATCATGGGCGTTGGACAAGAATACTTGAAGAAAAATAAAGAGTCGGAATAATACCGGAAAGACTCACCTTGCCAACCAAAACTTCATTGGTATGAGTTCCATAAACATCAGCAGTATCGAAGAAAGTGATTCCTTTAGCAAAGGCATAAGTAATGATTGATATAACTTCATCCTCGGAGATAGGTGAGTTGTACATTCCGGTTAAACCCATGCATCCGAACCCCAACTTCGAAACCTGTTTCGGGAACAGCAGAAAACTGAGAAAAACATGTTCCAGTTGGTGTAAGAACATATAAGTTCAAAACTCAAACATATTTTAGTTATTTTCTATTCATGATCTAATTCGGTACTTCCTAAAATTTTATAATTTAGCATCCCTTAAAATTTTTAATGTAATCTCCTAAGTTAGCATGCCATTAACCTTCGTCCCTGCTTCTATCCCTGAACTGCAACTTCCATTATAAAAAAGGGGGCCTTGGGATTTTTTTTTAAAATACAGTAACCTTTTGATAAAGCTAACAGATTTGAAATATTATCCGTTTGATCAAAATCAGTAATTTATCAAATGTGACCCTAATCTCAATCTCCATTTCAGAGTTCTACTGATCTATGCTTAGAAAGTTCAAAACTTTCGCAAGCGTTACAATAGTAATTTTTTAATCCGAATCAATTTCGATCCACGGAGAACATGTATGAGATTGGGTTCTCAGAGCAAGAATCCAACAAAATGACAGCAAGATTTTCAGACAAAAACTGAAATAAGTGTCCAAAAAAGAGAACAAAAGATGTTACCTCAAGTCCTTGGCTACTCAGTTTCAATCTGGGAATTTGTACCAAGTTCTCTTGTAAAGCCATGTCTGAATAATCTCCGCTCCAATTTGTATCTTGTTTTCTTTTTTCTGGTACCAAAGGTGTTTCTAAATTGAATATTTCATATTTGGTTGGAAATGGAAGTAGTTGAGTTGAGTGGTAGTTGGGAAAAGGTTGATTGAAATTGAATAATAATAAAATGGCAATATGAAGTTAAAGACATTGCACCGCGCCGAATCAAATCCGAGTTATTTCTAAGTTCGAGTAACATGAGTGTGAAAGATATGAAAATTTAATATCGAAAAAAATTATTTTTAAATAAATATTATTTCTTATTTATCTCATATTAATGAAAAAAAATTATTTAAGTTTTTGAATATGTTTTAAGTTCTAGACACTTATTGATGTTGTAAGGAAGATAATAAATATGAGAAATACAACTTGTATTATTCTTTTATTTATATTTCATTCAAATTAACTTACTATATTTCGATATTTTATGACACGTTAAATAATAACATGACAAGTAATGTTAAAAATTATTACATATAAAAAATTATATTGGATGTTATTTTTTTATGAAGTTAGTTTATCATGCCATTACTTAACGAACTTTTAATATCATCGATGAAATATAATTTAATTGTTTGTAATTCATAATTTAAAATTTTAATTAAATATCATTTTAATTAGTAATTTATTTATTTTACCAATTCAGAGAACATTTTACAATTTAAGTCTTAAGTTTAACGGAAATACAGAATACACAAACCACCAACGCAAAATGTCAAATCATGTTAAAAATAAACTAAAAAAGAACATCAATCAAAATTATTTCAAAACAAAAAAACATTCTTTTATATAAAATGTTCTTTTTATTAATATTTTATATAAAACCTTAACCAGTCATTTACCAATTATAAATATATTTATCTAGAGATTACGACTTGCAAAATTACTTTTACTATAATTCAAAATGTAATTGAGTCGGATAATTATCTTTAAAAAATTACTAGACAGTTTTCACCTTTTTCATATTAGCAAATTGCAGTATGCACCTCAAACGAAAATATGTAGTTTTTATCAAAGTCTCTACATGTAAGTGACGTGCACCCTTTAAGGTTGAATTAATTGTCTCAGCCAAGTTGATTGTCATGTGTCCATATCGATATCCACATCATATGTGTTCATCTACATTTCTTTTTCGATGAGGCTGATGTAATTGTATCCTTCCTCGTTCTTCGCCCGCAAATCCTGAAGCATTGATTCAAACGTTCGAGGAAGTAGTTCGTAACCTGATCAAAAAATTTATAACTTATTAACTTGCTTTCTTTGCAAAAATAAAATGATCGAAAGAAAACAAATTACATCAGTTTCACTTACCCATGCGCACAATTAATTGACGCTCATCATTCTTCTTATACCTTTCATGGTAGTTCGCAACAATGTGTCGGAGACAATACCTATGTTGGACAAAGGGTGGTTGCCACATTTGACCCAAAGACTCCATTGTTGCTTTGATCACAGCTCCGCGATCTGAAATGACATAGATTTTTTCGCTCGTGATAACATGTGCACGTAAGTTTCGGAGGAAAAAAGCCCAAGAATATGTATCTTCTCCTTCAACAAGAGCAAAAGCAACTGGAAGAATGTCGCGATTGTCATCTTGGACAACTGCCAATAATAAAACTTGCTTGTATTTTCCATACAAGAAAGTCCCGTCGATCTGGACCACAAGCTTGCAGTATTTGACAGCATTAACGCACTGTGGGTAAGTCCAAAAAACCCGGTAGAATTGGCATCGATCGCGTAGAACTCGATCATTATGGTATGCATACGAGGTTTCGAAGTCCACAATTGTCCCAGGATTCAACGTCCGGACAAGCCTAAACCAACCTAGAAGTTCGTTGTAAGATGCATCACATTCGCCATGAAGTTTGACAATGTCATTTTGTTTTGCCAACCAAGCTTTTTTATAGGAGACAATCTACCCATACTGCGATTGTATAGTTGAAATCAACACTGCAACAACTATATAAGAGCTTGCTTTTACCATAGGCATGATGGCTTGGCATATCACTTCAGAGTCCAAGTTGAGATGATCTTGGTTGACCCCTCCAGCACAATATGTGTGAGGACCGTTGTATACTGTTAGTTCTCATCTGTTGTTTTTCCTCTTCCTTTTCGATACGCGAACCATCCAATTGCATCCGTTTTCGTGTCGGACACAGTAACATACATATTTTTTGGTCGTGGAGCGGTCGACTCTAGACTGAACAGAATTACGGATATTGTAATTTTTTATAGCCATAATCGTTTCTTCTTTTCTTGAAAACTTCATGCCTAAAGATAACTCACCATTATTTATTGATGAGTAATATCCATAGTCACCGAGATGAGGCATATCCGCAAATTCTGACCCGTACATTGCACCATAATCAGCTTCATACATGTGTGCATGAGGGTCAGTTTGTGCCACATTTCCTGAAACTTCATCTACATCATCATCTTCAGAGTTGAATTGCGGTGATTATGGGCGAATGAATAGCCAGTCTTAGCACCATCTGCATCAGGCTCACGAAGCGGTTCTTCTGGTGGAGATGATTGTTCCTCCATGCTCTCCACATTTAGGTCGAAGAACCTACTACTTGCACGTTTTCCCCTTGAACTGGAAGGCATATCGACATTGAGATCGAAAAAACTCGCAGTCGAATGCCTCCCCCTAGAGCTTAAAGCCATCGTGTCAAATGGATAGTGCACAGATTGTTGCATCGATGTCATCTTCATATTAAGGTCAAATGGATTTGTAGATGAATGTCTTCCCCTTGAACTGCAGGCGATGTTGCCATACGGATTGTTCGTTGACCAACCTCAGTACATATCGTAAGGAGTTACGGATGAATATCTCCCCATTATGTCATTAAAATCATTACACATTAATGTCGTCGGGCTGTCAACTTGATCAACTTGTTCAGCCAGCCCATAGTGGGAGCTTAATGACTGGCCTCGAGCAGCACGCACTTGAACAAAATTTGCATACATCTTAATATCGACGTCTGAATAATTACTTTGAGATTCAACCATCACTTCAACATCATCATTGTTCGAAAGTCCGTACGTTGTATAAGTTAATGACAACAATGATGTTGGAAATCTGTACTGCAACGACGACATTCTTATACTACTTCCAACATGAACTTTCCTCGAAATCTTCGTTATCAGCTCCTCAAGAGTTATGTTTCTCTTAAATGATATTTTAACACGCTCATTTGATACGAAAACAACGCCGGTTTCATCTTCTCGAATTTCACCATCATAATAAACAATAGCTGAAAGTCGTGTCATTCTTTGAGTTTAAAAGTGCGATAATATTATATCTGGAAAAAAAACTGAAACAAACCTGATTAAATGAATAATATATGAACGAAAATATAACACAATAAATTTTTTACACATAAACGTTAATAATTTAAATAATATAATTTTATTTTATTACCTGCACCGCAAAACTATTTCGACGTATGCTTATGCTTTCCAATTTTACAAACACAAAAATTAATTGAAAACAATTAATATAATATTTTTTCAAATAATCATAATAAATAATAAGTATAATAAAAAATATAACAAAATTACCTTATAACGAAAAATCGCACGCACTTCTAAATCAAATATGAGAAGATTGCCGGAATTATTGACTCGTTGAGGGAATTGTTTTAATTTATAAGTTGAGAGGGGAAATGTGAAGAGTTTACCGGGGGAGAAGAGTATTTATAGCTGAGAAAAGTTATAAATATAATTATATCAGTTAAAGCTAAGGCGCAGCCCCTTCCCCGCGCTATATATAATTGAAAGGTAAGACGCGGCCCCTGCCCCGCGCTATTACTCTACGTGACATAAGGCGCGTCCCAGAGGCCGTGCTTTACACACGTGGCGCCAGATCAACGTAAAGCCCGCTGTAGGGGGCGCACCTTACTGCAACGGGTGTTAGATCGAGAAAAATAGTTTGAAGGGTGGCTAACAAGGAAAAATAAATGTAAAAGGTGATATATCGAGGAAAACGCCGAAGAAAAATACATTTCACTGGAGAATCTAGAAATTAAAAAAAAATAAGGGTTCAAAATTATAATACTCTATTTTAAAAATTTTGGACATGTAAAATTCATTATTTTTTCTATTTTCATTAACAAATTAAATTTAATTTAATTTTTTTTTCAAAATAATGGGTGTGCTAGTGCTCCCCTAAAGAGCCACATGTATTTGCCACTGGCACTGCCCCGAATCAAATCCAAATTGTTCCTAAGTTCGAGTAACATATATATTAAATATATGAAAATTTAATATCAAACAGTTAAAAATTATCATATAAATGATATCTTGTATTTATATCATATTAATGAAAAAAATTATTTAAGCTTTTGAATATGTTTTAAGACTTACTAATGTTTGTAGGAAAATAATAAAATATTTTAAAATTTTGAATTTGTTTTAAGTTCTAGATGCTTACTGATGTTGTAAGGAAGATAATAAATATGAGAAATATAACTTGTATTATTCTTTTATTTATATTTCATTCAAATTAACTTATTATATTTCGATGTTTTGTGACACGTTAAATAATAACATGACAAGTAATGTGAAAAATTATTACATATAAAAAATTAAATTGGATGTTATTTTTTATGAAGTTAGTTTATCATGCCATTACTTAACGAACTTTTATTATCATCGATGAAAAATAATTTAATTGTTTGTAATTCATAATTTAAAATTTTAATTAAATATCATTTTAATTAGTAATTTATTTATTTTACCAATTCAGAGAACATTTTACAATTTAAGTCTTAAGTTTAACGAAAATACAGAATACACAAACCATCTACGCAAAATGTCAAAGCAAGTTAAAAATAAGTTAAAAAAACACCAATAAAAATTATTTCAAAACAAAAAAACATTATTTTATATAAAATGTTCTTTTTATTAATATTTTATATAAAACCTTAACCAGTCATTTACCAATTATAAATATATTTATCTAGAGATTACGAATTGCAAAATTACATTTACTAGAATTCAAAATGTAATTGAGTCGGATAATTATCTTTAAAAATTTACTAAACAGTTTTCACCTTTTTCATATTAGCAAATTGCAGTCTCTGTAAAAGAAAATTAGTAAATTAACAATACAAACCTGGAATAGTGGTGGAGGAGAGTTCATACATACATGGAAAACATTACAATTATGAAACCTTAGGGGCTGTTTGGTTCGGGAAATATGAGATTCTCATGAGAATAAAATTCACATTCCCACGTTTGGTTGGTCGAGAATCTCATTCCTTGTAATGTTATATTACCAATAGTGAATTTTTTAGGATATATTACCGAAAATGTCATTACCCATTCCTTTAGGTATTGTTGGATTACCGGTATTTTGGACTAAAATACCCTTAATTTTTTTTTCAAAAATATCATTATTTTGTCATTGAATAATAAAAATTTTACGAAAGTTAAATTACAAATTTATCCTTAAATTATTTTAGATTTACAAAACAGGCTATAATTAAAATTTTATATGAAGTTCAGGGGTTAACATAAAATTTTACCCTTTCATTAAACTTTTTATATTTTAAATTTTGTAAAAAAAAATTATATAAATTTTATGAATTTAATTTTTTTAAAATAAAATATATAAATATTTTCCAATTTGTTAAAAAACAAATTAATCAAATATATATTCTAATAATCTTTTATTCTTTTAACCAAACATGGTAATCTTACATCCTTACTAAACTAACCAAATACAAAATACAATATTTTTAATAATTCTATTCTCTGATAATATTTTATTTCCACTAATAATATTACATTTTATAAACCAAACGCAAACTTAGAGATGTTTTGGTGGTGGTGTGTTAGCAAATTTCCACGAGACCTGATCTAAAAAATTAGGCGAAAGAGTGCCAGCCACCTCTGTTGTAGGAATCACATCACATATTTCTTTTATTTCTTCTTTGGTCAGCTTTATCTTAAGTGATTCAATGTTGATATCAAGATTTTTTATCTTAGTGGTCCCTGCATGATGCAAAATGAAGGTTAAAAATAAGTTATAATCCAGTTTTTAGAATACAAGAGACAAGGACGGATGCCCTCAGCCGAGTGCATCTCATTATTTTAAGAAAATGGTAAAATTTAATTCAATATGTTATAGAAAAAAATAAAAAATTACATACTCTTTATTTTTTAAGAAAAGAATATTAACTTTTTATTATATTCTTAAACTTCTAATTTGTCACTAGCAATAATATATAAGAGAGTGTGTTGCGACTGACCCGGAATGGGTGCGACATCATCTCCTTGATGAAGAACCCAGGCAAGGGCAAGTTGTGGAGGTTTACATCCATGCTTCTCGGCCAATTTCTCGAATTGAAAATATAGCATCTTGTTCTTTTCTAAATTCTCACCTTGAAACCTTGGGAATATTGGCTTTTAAAATAGTTTTATACTATCAGAACTCTTTTCATATACAAGATCTAAAAGCCATTAATTAAGTGATTGATTTTTCCATACCAGAATACTACTTTCAGGCACATCTTCCAAGATTGCTTTGCCGCCGAAGAAACCCCGACCAAGTGGACTGTATGGAACAATCCCTATTCCAAGTTCCCTGCATGTATTTGAAGAATTATTTACCATGTTCGAATATGAAGAGAAATGTGGGATTAAGGGGGCAAACCTGCAGAGGGGGATTATTTCTTCCTCGATTTCACGAGCCCAAAGCGACCACTCCATCTGTACGGCAGTTATGGGATGCACGGCGTGCGCCCTCTTTACAGTGTCGGCACTGGCTTCCGATAAACCCACGTACTTTATTTTCCCCTCCTCCACCAACTTCTTCAGTTCACCCATCTACGTACCATAACTAATTGCTTAAACTCAAAAATCATTCCCACTATGAAATAATGAAAACTGTGACTGTGTAGATTGATGAGGGTATGGAAGAAAAGGTATCAATTTTCTTCATTATTATTTTAAATAGTATTAGTTGATTATAAATAGGGATGAGTCGTCTAGTCCAATTCTCTAAAAATTCCAATTTATTATATATTTTAAAAATGTATATTTTCTACTAATAATTTACTTTTATAATTTTTACTATTAGAATTTATAAATTCATTTTTCCTAAATTTTTTGAAGTTCACTCATAATATAAAGTTTTGTTTTGCATCCGTCCTTAATTATAAAGTAATATATGTTCAGAATTTTCTTAATTAATTGTCAATGCCTATACAACATGCAGATTCAATCTGTAAAACTCAAATCTTCAAAAAAAATATTTCCTTCTATCACTAATACCATTCAATGGTTTGAAAGATTTATTATGTCAGTAATCATAACATCACTTACAGTATGCTCTATGGGAGTGGCGGTGTCGACTCTGTGTTGATAATAGAGATCAATGTATTGGACATCGAGGCGCTTGAGGCTGCCCTCGACACAGCTGCGGACATATTCAGGGGTTCCATTTAGAACTATGACACCAGTTGCGTCCATTTCTACAAAACCAAATTTTGTGGCTAATTGGACCTTCTCTCGAGGTAGCTCCTTCAACGCCTAAAAAACACACAACAATGGTTCTGTTTTATTGATATTCGTGACTAAGTGTCTAAGACCATGGCACCAAACATGTTACCTTTCCGACCAATATTTCATTGGTATGTGGACCATAGATATCCGAAGTATCAAAGAAAGTGATTCCTCTGTGAAATGCGTGTTTGATGATTGATATCCCGACATCGTCGGGGACAGGGTCGTTGTATCCTCCAGTAAGACCAAAACAGCCGAACCCCAACTTCGACACCTACAACAAAACACGATCGGTTTAAGACATCAGAAATGGTAGATTCTGAATTGAATCCCAATAATAAACGTATTACCTCAAGTCCTTGAGTTCCTAGTTTCACTCTAGGAATCTCAATTCTCCGCTGCTGCTCCGACATTTTGTTTCTTTCTGTTTTTCACTTACTCAGGCTTGTATTGTTGGTATTCCTCAGCCACACATAAATAATCTTTATGTTAGTTACCTTATCCACTTGGTAACTTCACTTAGTTGAACACGTAATCAACTCAAAAAATATCACAACTTCGTTGGAAAGACTGTTGGAACTTATGGTCCAAGAACAGATAACATTAATGGTAAACTATATGAATGACCAATTAATTATAGGACGGTTTTAATTTAGTCACTGATGTAATAATTTTGTCAATTATATCATTTAATTATCAAAATGATGTCAATTAATCTACCACCCCTTAATATTTAACAAGAAAAATAATTATATATTTGGCCTCTATTATTTATATATTATAATAATTTAGTCTTAATTTTAATTTAATTTAATAAATTTAATCATCCAAACATATGGTGGCATGTTGTTAATGCTCAATTGTAACTCATTTTTAATAGCTTTAAATTGTGCTTTGGAAATGGCGATTTTGCCCTCAGTATTTAGCCTATAAATAATGGGCAATTTCATTCATTTGAATATATCCATAAGCAAATGTTCACTTTATAAACACTCTCTTTGGTTTTCATAAACTTTTTCTAAGTATTGTTTTGAGTTAAGAGAAGAGCAATACCACCGCTAGTCCACTTCATGTTTCGGGTCTACGAAATTTGAAGAGTCGTGCTAATCTTAGGGGGGTCGTTCGTTCATTGTAGCGCTTACACACATCGGGGCGAATTCGGTTCTAATGCATTAGTTAATACCACGACGCGATTGATAGTTTTCTGATTATTTTATTTAATATTTTTCAGTTAGTGCTAATGTCTCGTTTTACAACGATATATTTTTAACACATGTATCACTACTTGTTACATTGAAAATTTTTAAATTCAAAATTCGCTGCACAAAGAACCAAATTAGGTTGTGTTGGAAGGGTGAAATAACTTCAACGGCTATAATATTTATTGAAGGTTATATTATAATAGATATAGAAACTTGGTCATAAAAAATATAATAAAAATCGTGTGCTTCCTAAAAACAATGTCTTTAACATTATTTCTCTATTCAAACTTAACATCCTCAAATAATATTAAAATTATTGTCTCAAAATATTTTTAATTGTGAGATTATAATATTTATATCCCCTAAATCATTCAAATTAACTAACAAAATAGTTGTTCCCTATTTTAGTCATTTTTCATGTATATGTTTTGCCTCAACCGAACAACCCCTTAAATTAAATTTTTAACCTGTCCAAAGCTCATAAAATACTTTTACAGTTATTTTAACGGATATTTTATTTATAATATAGGTCATTACTTTTAATATTTCTTCCTAAAGAAACTAGGTAAAGTAGGATGAGCGATCATACTCCTTATCCAAAAAAAAGAGTTCCATTGAATTTTTAACTACATTATCCATGCTAATTGACTCAGGCATGATATATTATGGGACAATATTACATTCCTATTGGAATTTTACAAATGATATCGGACGTTGTTCACTTAAGTCATTATATCAATTGTAATACTCACAATTATAATTAAATTCAACTTTATAAGCTTGGAACATAACCAGAGAATGATATTTTTAATGAATATGATATAACTACAAATACTATTATGATTAACGAACGATTAATGAAAAATGAATATTATCGAAAAGATAACAAGATTTACGTGAAAACCCCTAAAAAAGAGGAAATCATGGATAGAGGAGAATAATCTTTCACTATGAGAAAAATACAAGAACTGTTACAATGTTACACTTCAAAATCCTAATTCCCCACTATCTATTTATATGGATCAAATAGATAATACTACTCCGTACCACCCGCAGGCCTCACACTTTTATCATTGTTTTGATTGTAACTTTTTGAGTCGGTCTAAGAAGAAATTGGATCACAACTGTAACTTATATTAATATTAATGTTACGAAATATTGTTGACTATTCTAATATATCATTGGAAATGACACACAAATATGAACATAGATTAATTCTAAGACATTTTTAGATCTATTAACACTTAATCTTTATAGAAAGAACATTTATCATATATTAATCAAAACTTACTTGAAAACACATTTATCATATATTAATCAAAGCTTACGTTTTAAAGTAATGCGGAATATCTTCATAATGTACTTCCCACATTTTTTATTAGGTTATGATTAGTTCGAATCAATTGAATATTATTATAAAAACTCGAGCTTAGTTGAGTTTATGTACATGATTTATATACTTGATTTTGAGTTGGATTTCAAGTTAGAACTAGTTTTGTATATAATTTATATATATAACTAAAATTATTTAAGATTTTGATTTTAAAATTAAAAGTAAAGTAATAATTAAACATTATAATTAAGAGGTTTATTAAGTCGAAAATGATTGGAACAAAGTATTAAGATATTTAAAATTGACTTGTTCAAACTATTAGCTCAAGTTTAACTCGACAACCATGGGGAGGTCTATATATTCTAAAATTCTAATGATTTTCCTAACTTCATTAACGAGGTGAAAAGAAAATAAAAGAAATCTCATATTCACCATCATTACAAAGTAGCTGCTGCTTCTTGATGAAAAGAATCATCTAAGATCAGCTTCTTAGACCAACATTCATTCATTTGCAACCGTTAGATCAAATTGGAGCCATCTGAACCATACATAAGAGTCCCCTCCATTGCTGTCCGAAAACCTAAACACATTCCCCTCGAAATCAAATCCACTTTTTCGCTAAACCCTATTGCCGAGGGCAGTAGGTAATGATTAATTTATATTATTATATAAGATAAGAAGGTTTATAATTATATCCAAGTTAATGGGTTGAGTTGGTGTGATGATTTCCCTACCATTTGCATATTCTTGTGTGAATCTATCTATACAACATAATCAACATATTTTAAAACTCACACATTTTCTACCACGTGTCAGTGTTAAGGGCCTTGATTAATTTGTCAGTGTTTAATTTGTTAGTGGGTCTCTTTCTTTCTTTCTTTTTAAATTATTACTATCATGTCTAGTTAACAAACTAAAGTTGAATCTACCAATGAAGTAATGGAATAGCTAGCTGTAATTCATATAATAAAACATTATATTGAGAAAGAGAGAGAGAGATGTAGGTTTTAAAAGGCTAATTATATTAAGTATAAATAATTTAAAATAATAATAATGGAAAACCATTGCGAAAACAGTGCCCCTCCCTTACGGGAGTACTGCAATCCACCGCCGCCTGTCTTTGTTCCCTCGGCTCCTTCTCCGATCGACGGTAACCTCGCTGGAAATCAACATGGGATTAAAGTGCTATCATCTCCACCTTTGGAGAGACCGGGTTCCCCTTTCCCCGACGAGGATCAGCGTGTTACTAAAAAAGTTCGTAATAAAGAGATGAATGTTGATTGAATGGAGGAAGATCAGAGTGGTATTGAGACGCAATCGGTTGTTAATAGCATTGGAGAGGGAACTCGACAACAGGAGAAGCGATCTTACGCCAGTGCTGTCACGAGTCAATTGAATCAGACAACAGACGTGGTTTCGCTTCAGGCTATGGATGAGGAAGTGGTTCTGGATAGTGAATGTATCGTGGATATCAATGGTCAGTATCCTGTGATTCAATTCGCTGATCAAGTTCATGACAGAATTGACTATAGCATGAGGCGCTCAGTGATAGTCCGGCTCCTGGGACGTGCCATTGGTTTTAAGACATTGTTGAATCAGATTGGTTTATTATGGCAGCTCCAAGGACAGTACCAAGTCATCGATTTAGAGAATGATTATTTCCTGGTGAAGTTTGAAAGTGAACAGGATTATATTCATGTCTTGATGGAAGGGCCGTGGACCATTTTTGGATGCTATCTAACGGTTCAACCATAGAGTCGTACATTCACCACATCAGAAAAACATTCATCGCAGGTAATCGTCTGGGTTATATTACCGGGGCTTCCTTACAGATATTATTCAAAGGCGATTTTTCGTCGTATTGCTATGGTTATTGGTCAGGTGGTGAAGATCGACTATAGTACAAATTCGGGAGAGAGAGGTCGTTTTGCTCATTTGGCGGTGTTGGTGAATCTTAATAAACCATTAATTATATGCCTAAAGATTGACGGGTTCTGGCAAAAGATTGAGTATGAAGGACTACAACAAATATGTTTCCAATGTGGAGTATATGGGCATTCGAAAGATGTTTGTGGCTCTATTGAAGCGAATACTAGTAAGGGAGGAGCGGCCAGTGGTTCAAGTTTTGATTTGGATAAAGGATTAGGTTGTGAGGAGTCGGGATTTAGACCATGGATGATCGTTGAAACGCGTAGAAGGCGTACGAAGAAAAATCCTGATCCGAATATGAAAACAAGTGGTGATGATACGAGGGGCTCTCGATTTGCAATTCTAGGTGAGGAAAATAATGGCATTGATGAAGATTCCACGGTAATTCCGAAGGTCACAGTGGATGTAACCAACATGGAGGAAGGTCTGGCAAACACCTTTCGGATAGACTCACGAGTAAAAGGAAAAGGTACTCGTCCGACGGAAAAAACTAAGGAAATTCGGACATTACAGCAGGTGGATAAGGAAAGGCCAAGCAATGGGTCAATAGAGTCTGGTGTTAGTAGGCTGGGTTATCCAGGTCGATCGGGAAAAACTGAAGCAATTCAAACGTTACAACAAATTATTGTGATAGCCATGAAGGACGGGGTTATTCCTCAAGTGACGGAACATCGCAATGTTATAGCTGTGGGAAATCATTCGGCGGTCACCATTTTGGAGGATAGTCAGCTTCATGTCGCAAGCAAAAACATTCGGAATAAAGGAAATAAACGTGAGGTTGGGGATAGTTCTAAAGGACTGAAAGTGAAGAAGAAAAATAAAGATTTTAAACTCTCATCGACAGGTTTTACAGATTGGTTGCGGAATGCAAAATTCAACACACATCTTGATATCAGTATAATGCATGGTGAGGGTTCATTTTTGTGCGTGAGAATGGAAGAGATGAAGGAAATCGGCCTGTAGTGGAAGCGTTGGAAGCAGTTACAGAGGAGGTTAT